CTTGTATGATGAACTCGTCCCGCTCGGCGGTGGTCCCGAAGCTAGGAGCAAATGGGCCTTCCCACTCGTCGCCGATTCCCAGCTTAAATTCTGGCGGGCAGAGCCAACTGGGTAACAGTCTTGCACACTATCGAAAGGTGAAACTGCGCTCTCCGTGCCGTGGTTCTAAGCCGGTTAGACCACTGAACTCGTCTCCTCGGTTTGAAAACCCTCGTGGGTCGGGATGAGAATATATATGTTATGTACTACGTGCGAGGGACATACCGGATTTCAATGAACCCGAGAGCCTCCGCGTTTGTAGTGTCCGGAGCGCAGCGAGGGCACCAAGCGGACTCGCGGAGGGCATGAGGGTTCATTGAAATCCGGTATGTCCCGAGTATACGGAGTACATAACATGTTTAGTGCAGAGCAAATCTGCTCCGTATACGCGCACAGCCGCGTTTCCAAGCAATGCGAGAAAGAGACGAGAGCGCAAGACCGTCATCCCGTGCGGGACTATTGAACGCCGAACGCTAGGATACGCTGCTCCGCCGCTCTACATAGCTACTCCCGCTGTGGGACTGTCCTCCGCCACTCATCCAAAGAAACGCGACAGGAGACCTGCGCGAACCATCGCAATCAGAGAGAGGCGAGAGTGGAGAATTCAGGCGCTGTGCGGGCTGCTATATACCGAAGGCGTGGCCGTGACTAGTAGCTTTGTCGCGCGCACTCGCTCGCGGAGCCCCACCCCCTTACTTTGCGTGCGGTGTGGTTTGTGGGCGGGCGTGAGCTGCCTGGCTATCTATATGTACATGGCATGCAAGGAAGGAGATGGGCTCAAAGCAGACACAGAAAACTGTCTCGTGGAAAAAGAAAATCAAGATATCAGCTATTTTGATCAACATTTTGTACAGATAATGTTTTGCGGGATACATTTTCTACGTGAAATGCTGTTGAACTTGTTGATAATCAACAGAAAAAACAAGGTTTCATATCATGTTTTCATGTTACTTTTGTTAGCTCACGAGGTTCATATGAGAAATCAGGAACCTCGTACTAACAAATCTGATTGGTCGATTCAAATCAGCTATGCACTAAGACGCAATAGTGACCTCTGCTCCGCCTCGGTCACGATTGCGTCATTCTCACCCTTCCCCCTCGGGTTATTCAAACCTCGTAGTGACTCGTTCCAGTGATCTAACCTATACGTATCTATGGGAAAAGCAGTTGGTACATAGATCACTGTCCGTTATGGTAAGTGTCCGCTAAAGGAAGTTCACTGTACCAGTATTACATTACCCTCTTATAATGTGATTCTAACTTGGCTTATGATAATGACGCACAAGTCGAGAAGCATTACAAATTTTTCGGAGTGGCCCGGCTACACTTGGTAACAGCTTCAGTAGCTAGTGGACTAACTTGGTTGTGGTAGGTCTGGTTGATAGTCCACTTCAGTGAGTGGTGCGGCTCCAGAACCTGTGGAAACAGTCCATTGAGAACCCAAACATGCCTTACCCAGTCGTATTTATGGTATAATATATGCTTAGCTACAATAAAAAGCACAGTCTAAACCACCTGGGTGAGTCATTACCATAGAGAGGTGAAGGGAGGCCTGGTCGAGAGGAAGTTGCTGGACTCTGAGAGGAAGAGACTGAAGAGAGAGAGAGAGAGAGAGAGAGAGAGAGAGAGAGAAATGGAACTGAGGAGAAGAATCTCAAACACTCTTACCACTGGCTTCAGGTAGCTGTGGTGCAGTATCAGGAAAGTGAGCTGCCTCCACAGTCATTGCTAGGTGAGGAAGATTGACTGCAGGACTTTTGAGGGCATCTACAATGACTCTCCAGGTTGGTCTGGGCTCTACTTGGTTCAGGAACTCCAACACGAATCTGAAGAAGGCGGTTTTTGGCGGCTCGGAACGTACGTTGCGTGGATGCTCTTTACTTCGTGTGGCTTTAGATTCAGCTTCAGGCCCAGTTCCAAGGACTCGTTCTGTGCTGGTAGTAGCTCCTCCAGTACTTTGACGGCATCGTTTGGAGTCAGGACCTCGCCACCCGTCGTCGGTGCTGTGTACATTGGATAAGGTTATGTTAGCGATCAAGGCCACTCTAGATTATTGGCCAATTACCTTCGGCCATTACTAGCAAAATCTCTGATCAAATCTCCACAGAGTGGTGATACACACCTAGTACCTACGAAGCACGGTCGAGCAGCAGGGCTTGTTGCGCCCCGGCCCGCCCCCCACTCCCAGCATAGCTCCACCCAGTCACGCCGTCGACGGTCCCCCGCGAAAACCGGTCCCCCCGGAACACCGGTTCCCCCGGAACGTCCGTGGCAGCCGTAATTGGTCCCGGCCCCCCCTGCAACACACGGTCCCCCACCCGAAACTATCAAGCGAATCCGTGTCTCTGTTATATATAGCATCTTTGAGTGTCACTGAGCCGTGTCACAATGTGTTTTCCGACGGTAACTGCAACACAGCTCCGTCTTCTCTGGCGTTTCTCTTCGCTGCTGGCGCATTCACGTCGTCGCCCACGCGCGTTACTCTGCATAAATATGCATGGTTTCACGACTTGTGTTTTGCATTCAGTATGGTTTTGCCACAAAATAACTTTTCATCTATCATCACGGCGCAGAAAAGAAGGGAGCGGGGCAGATCGACAACCAATTATTATTGCTGGCTGATAGCAGCGAGGCAGTGTACTTACTTATAGGAAACTAATTTGTTCCAAAGAAACAGTATAGACAAGGGGGACCATCGACGGCAGGCAGGGACTGTCCTAGGGGGGTCATTTTCTCTGCTGTGGACGGTCCGGGGGGACGTATGCAGTAGCTTGAGGGTCTGTTTCCTATATATGTCTAAAGGTATAGTACGTAACTGAGGTGATGTCTCTTCACCTTCGAGATCGGCTGTTGATGTGATAGCATGCATACCCTATTGATGTGACTTAGTATTAGGGATTATACTGTTGGATTTTGCATGAGATTGCTGCAATTCTACCGCTTCTTCTTTCTTCTCTCCATCTCTCTTCTCCACAGCTAATAGCGCGCGCAGCATGCATGGCCGGGGGGACGTATATACGCGCGTGGACGACGCGATCGAAGAGCCACAGCCTGCGCATGCGCACGTTCGCACGCGAGTCTAGAGCGTGCTCTAGAGAGCTGTGGATGATAGCCAGCCGCGACCGCTCGCTTGCAGACTGTTCGGAGGAGTTTCCTGCTTGTCGGTGATTCGCAGTGCATCTTGGAAGTGCATGCCGTTCGCTATCGTCACACACATCGAGTGCTTTGCCGGCATTAGAAGGTGAGATACGAGTAGGTAGGTAAACAGTGCAGCTGTACGATGTGCCTTTATTCGTTTCGAAGTATGAAGTTGGTGCAGCAGTCCAAGTCCCGCCGTCTCTCCTTCCTCCTCTTCTCCCTCTGTCTGAGTGGCTCTGTGCACATAGCAGCTGGCTCCGACAGCAGTACTGCAATGGGGTCTTCCATAAGAAGTGTAGAAGACGCGGTCTACCTCAACGTGCAGCGGACGGACTATTACATCGCTCCTTCGCAGTTGAAGCTAGAGTGTGACAGTGCCTCGGGGGGCGACGTTTCTTTCTGGAGAGAGCAGAACGGACTCACTGAGGAAATTACAGTAGCTGGATCAGTAAGTGGGGGAAGACAGAGAGAGAGGGGGGGAGAAGAAAGAGTAGTAGATAAAGGGTTTATGAGAGGTAAGGGAAGAAAGAGAGAGGGGGGGAGAAGAAAGAGTAGTAGAGAAAGGGTTTATGAGAGGTAAACTAGGGAAGAGGAGGTGAGAAAGAGAGAGAGATTTCACACAGAATTGTGTACGGTGCAGAATGCTATGCATGCCCAACAGTGGGGTTTGTATGGGAATATACAAATGTACCAATTTTCCGTCAATGTAGCTACTATAGGTCTCTCTAATGCAATGAGCTTTGAGCTGTTTCTAACGTGGTGTACCGCCATATGGTTGACTGTGCTGGTGCTCCAAGTGAAGCTCTTCAAATGGTGTGTAGTAGTGAGTGGTTCACAGAGGTATTTTGCTGGCAATGCCGTGGCAAGGCCACATCAGACCTTTGTGTGTGCGTCCATGACCTGTTGTTTGGGTCAATGGAGAGAGTGTTTATACTATAGGGAGGGGGTGTGTGTTTGTGAATGAGAGAAGAGGGAGGGAGGGAGGGAGGGAGGGAGGGATAATGGAGAACAATAGGAGAGGGAGGGGAAAGTAAAACAGGAGGGACCTCTACATAAATAGTGTGAACATTTTATTGGTTACATTATCAACAAAAACTAACAAGCAATTATTAAGCTTGCCAAACTTTACCTGAGAAAAATCATATTATTATACATATTGTATATACATGCACCCTTGTCACATTGATTCCACTCAGTTGTCAACTACTACCTTAGCCGTTTTTTCATTTAACCCTTTCAGAACCCATCGTCAGAGCGGGAGATAACATTCTCCATTACTCCGGAGATGGAGGGATCGTATTACTGCATGGGAGATGGCGTCCGGTCCGAACCTCGCTCCGTGGAGATTGTTGGTAAGGAATCCATCTAGGATACTCCCTCTCTTGTCCATTTCTTCCGGAACCTTCTCTTGGTTTCCCTTTTCTGTTTCTGATAATGAGCTAGATGAGGCCACTATTGAACAAGGAGACGAACATAGAAGGCAAATCAGTGGTGCCCCACAAGCTAGCATGATGTGTGTTGAAAACCCTAACAACTTCAGACATACTCTTTGTCAAGAAAAGTATGGTATACACTGTATATAAGTAAGTGTTGTTTGTTAGGAATGATGTCATAGATATTGAGATCCAACTCTCCTTTGAGCTTCACTCCTTAGAACTGACTCGTGCAAACAGAAACACTTGACTACAACATCAGTACTAACCACTTCAATAGCAGTGTGTAGGTTGGTAGCTGAGTGTGTGGTGTGCATTTGAGAGTTGTTTGTACCCACTGATTATTACTGGAGTAAAGTGAAGTGGAATGTCATTTTCTGTGTAATTGAATTTCAACTAGTCACGTGTATAGCCTTGCACTCCTATGCTGCAGATGATACGTTGCAAACCCATAAATTTGGTGTTTGGCAGTGTTATTGTGACCGAAGCAAGCTGACCTAGTCAACTGAAATGTGCATCCTTCTATATAGTGTCATATCAAACGTTGCCATCATTGCGTTCTACGTGATTCTAAATCATGCGTGGTGCTGAATTTCGCAAGCCTTGCTGCGTGCTGCAGTAACCCTCCCGTTGGCTCGCCAGAAAATCGTTTCACGTTCTTTCTAAAGTGTGCACCCTGACCTGTCTCCCTTCCCCTCTCAAATATCACGACTCCCTCTCATTTCAACCTATCTCTAGCTTCCTCCCTACTTCCATATGTTAGTGTTGGCTTAGCTCCTTCCTAGCAAGCTGTGTCAACAGAGACTGGGAAAGTGAGGTGACCTTTTGTTAGCTAACCACAATGGCGAGGTCACAGCCATCAGCTGTTGTTCCATACAGTATGACTGGGGGTTCCTTTGTATGGAGGTGGTGCTTGGCTGTCATCCAGTGTTAGACCTTTCCAGAACAATGCATTAGTGAGCGTAATTAATACTACTGTACTTAGAAAATGCTTTAGAAAGTCATTACAGACAGCTGCTATCTGAAAAATTGTTCAGTTAAAACTCTTTTGTTGTAACTTCTTTCACTCTCTTTTACGAAACCCACCATTTGTATATATACCACAGTTTTACACCACCGGATGTTACCCGCTGTTTTTTCCTCTGATATTTGACCAACTTATCAAGTCTCTCATCTCCCTCACTCCCTCCTCTCACACAGCCTACCCTCTCCAAAACCACACCGTCAAATCGATAAAGACCCTCAGAACTCGTCTCCACGGCGACATAACACTCCCCTGTGTCTTCACGCCCGGTGCTCTATCTCATCGCTACTCCATCCAGTGGTATATGGGACTTATACCACTGGATGCTGAGAACAATACCAGATATATGGTGTCACCCGAGGATTTCTCTCTCACTATCATGGATGCTAACGCTCTCGATGCCAGTGACGCTTACTACTGTGTCGTGGACGTTGTGAATCTGCTGCCGAGGTTTAACAGTTACCACAGCATCGGACCCAGCATTAGCCTCGTCGTTACAGGTGAGGGGTGTGGTCTGTTTCCGTGGCAATGGGTAGTGAGTGGTCTGTTTCCATGGCAATGGTAGTGGTGTACTCCCATAGTATTTGATGGAGTGTTGGACATGGGTCTAGATGTGTTTGTGCATTTCTGGGCTGCATTTCTAAGGCTTGAGCACATGGCATGCACATGTACATGTCCTCAGTATACATATGTAATGAGAGATGCATATTAGTGGTCAAGAGTATAGTGGCCTTTTGGCATACTGGCATGAGCAGCTGTTCTTGTTGGTGTCTGCTCACTTTCTCTCTCCCTTCTTCCTCACTGCTACAACTCTCCCTCCCTCCCTCCTCTCTCCTCTCTCTCTCTCTCTCTCTCCCTCTCTCTTCCTCACTCCCACAACTCTCTTTCTCTCTCCTCTCCTTTCTCTTACCACAGACTCCCTCTCCATTTTCACACGACCCAGTCCCTCCACCCACCTCCCCCTCCTCCTCCTCCTCCTCCTCCTCCTCCTCTGCCTCTTTCTCCTGCACGGCCTACGGTCTTCCTCCTCCTTCCATCATGTGGCTACACAAGGGCTCAATCGTCAAGGCTACCAACTCACAAGACAAGGTCTGTATCACACCAGACACAATATAGGGATTGTGTGATGGGGTTGGGGGAGTCAGCGTACTCAAATCTGTTCATTAACCATGCTTCATGTATATCCCATCCCTATCTTGTCTCCCTTTCTTTTTATACCATCCCTACATGCCTCTTTTTTTTTATTCGCATGATTTTTATTTACTTGTTTGAGCAAATTATTAGCGAACAAGCACTTCCAAATATTTGAAAAGCAGATGCATAAAGTGAGAAGATTTAAGACTGTTTAGCCATCCACAACTGTGTATAAAGCAAATGGAACTACAATAGCAGTTTGTTGTTGTAGGAGGCAGGTCCATATAGTAGTGACCTCTCCATTGAGGTTGTGTAGTAGCCAGGACTGCTGATAAGAATGGGATGATTTCGGAAGGAATATATACAGTGAGAAAGATGGTACTTATTTCGATTTTCTTACAAAACCATAGGAGATGATTACTACATTCTTTTCATATCACACGAACATTTGGTGGAAATTACTTGAAAAAAACTTTAACAACGAATTAAGTATGTATATACACTTTTTCGATTAGCATTGAACTGTGTTGACCATACGTTTCAATGGAGAGGGTCACTCACTGCCCTCTCCTCACTCTGCTGGTTCTTTCCCTCTTCTTACACACAGACATACTCCCCACCGTCCTCCACCACTATGGACAAGAGAGGAGCCACGGTGACCAGAGAGCTGTTTGTAACGGAACTCGGTGAAGACGACAGCGGTCTGGTGGAGTGTCTGGTCCTGCAGGACGACGACGAGGAAGATGGTCTGGTCATAATGAGCAGCTCTGCCAGCCTCTCCGTCCTCCGTGAGTGGGAGAAGAGAGAGGAAGAGAGGGGAGAGAGATAATAAGGGTTAAAATGAAAAATCTCTTTACGAGAGAATTGAAAAACAGTTTCAGTCATGTTTGTAGTTTCTTTAACTGTAAGTGAGGAAGAAATGAAGCAGACAGTTTTTATCGTCCGTAACTCACGCATCACACGGATGAGAGTCAAACACACTTCTTGGTCTTACTGTGTACATCTAGTGATGAGATCTCCAATCAGATAGAAAGATCTCCGATCAGATAGAAAGATCTCCAATCAGATAGAAAGAAAGTGGTTGGTTAGGGAGGCAGCAAGGCAAAGGAAAGACAAACATCCCCACCACAACACCCGATGACCTGGAGCATAGAAATTCTGTTTACGGTACCTGAAGCCTACCACCACATTGCTAAGTGTGTATATAAGGGCTCTGGGGATGAATGGTAACATCTGTCTAGCTAATTACCTGGAGTACCCCCTTACCAACCTAGCTAATGTCTGTCTAGCTAATTACCTGGAGTACCCCCTTACCAACCTAGCTAAGGGCTGTCTAGCTAATTACCTGGAGTACCCCCTTACCAACCTAGCTAATGTCTGTCTAGCTAATTACCTGGAGTACCCCCTTACCAACCTAGCTAATGTCTGTCTAGCTAATTACCTGGAGTACCCCCTTACCAACCTTCTGTAAACACGACCTTCTTCTGCTTATTCTCCTCTCTATCTCCTTTTCCCTCTGTTGTTTCTTTCCCTCCTATTCTGTTCCATGATACAACATGCACACAGTGGTGATGAGATATCCAGAAGGCATTATGCATGCATAGAAGTGAAGCAAAGTACGCAGCTGTTGTATTGTTATAATTTCGTAATATATACCTGCTGTGTGTGTGTGAGTGAGTGTGTATGTGTGTGTGTGTGTGTGTGTGTGTCAAGCTGATACCACCCATGTCTTCTCTCCCATCCTCCCTCTCCCCCCCACAGCAAGTTCCTTCACTCCTCACCTCCTCCCTACCAGCACCGGTGTGGAGCTCTCCCTCACTCTCCCCACCCTCTTCCCCTCCTCCTTCTCCCTCGCCATCCTTTACTACGACAACTCTGGGACTGTGGTGGGGAAGTCCCTACTCGTTAGCCCCATGTTTGCAAACACTCGCTCGGTCGATTACGTCATCACTCCGGACCAGTTGCCGCCGGTGACGGAGTTTTCGGCAAGAGTGACAGTCATAGTGGGAGAAGTGGAAGGAGACCTGTCGGAGATGTCTAATCTCATCAGTGAGTTTAGGGTTAAAATACACGACTGAACGTTGTCTTGCACATAATATAAGCTATGGTTTTCTTTTCTTAGTTCAGTGCCTTGTATCTATGTAGCTAAGGGATTGACTGAGTTTAACTCTCGACGGGAGTTACTCTTTATATTTCCTGGATTTGCCTACCAGCAATAGTTTCTTTTCTTACTGGCGTGATTACTTCGACCAATTCCTAAATCAACCATCTACCAATTCCTCAATCACCAATTATGCCAGGTCAACTTATTCCTTTATTCTTTCTCCCTGACAGCTGTCCAAGAGCTTTCTTCATCCTCCGTATCGTCCTCGGCTAGCAACTGTAACTGTGACAACGCGACAGGCGACGAGTCAACGACACAGACCGTTCTCATCTTCTTTGTCGTTCTCCTCATCCTGTTGCTAAGCGTTGCCGTGTGTGTGGCCATTTGGGGCGTGGTCATGATGATCAAGAAACTGAGAAGAGCTGGCAGCAAGGACTCCATCAGTGGTAAGACACTACAAGCAATGAGATAAAATTCTGTGAGAAAAAACATTCCTTGAGGCAGAATCTATTACGTAACTGTGAGTTTGACTGACTGCTTGTAAGATTGCAAATAGGAAGTGGGAGAGGGAATATGTGAGTGTAACTTCCTTTCTAGTCCTTTCTCTTTGTCTACCCAGTAGTACTTGGTATATAGGGATGACACAGGTTGTCCTGCATTATGCCCATACATTTGAGATTTGTACATTTCTCTTTATATGTACTGTACTCCGAGTGGCTATATGAGTGTGTATATAGCATAATGTACTGTTTAGAGAGTGGGAAAGGAGAACAGCTAACTGATAATCTGTTTGTGTATATTATAGAACGGTCATACAGTCCGAGTCGCTCCAGCTACCGGTCCAGAAGTCGTTCGGGTGGGAGCTCCCGGTCCAGATCCCGTTCCCCGGGGTCTCGCCGCCATTCCAAATCCCCCAGCTTCAGACACAGCCACAAGTGAGTGTGTTGGCGGCTTGGGGAGTAAGAGAGAGTATCTTACTGGCCGAGTTTGTGTCGTTAGTATAGGTTAGTATAGGTTAGTAGCATTTCAGTCTGAAGTCCTTGACATAATGGCTATTTGAACCATAAAATGTATGTAGGTCTGAGTCTGGGATCTGCCTCCACTCTACTTATACTTGGCAGTGGAGCTCAATGATAGCACACTTATATCGCATACCGAATACGAGAATGCAATAATGAAATCAAGTCATAGTCATTAATAAAACATAATATGTATGTCGGAGGTTTACTACGGGAAATAGTAAACCTCGGCTTTGCAATCTGATTGGTCAATTCAAACCTAGCTCACTCTAAAACGTATGTAGGTCTGAGTCTGGGAGCTGCCTCCACTCCACTGGAGATCTGGGACCCCTCGATTACAAGTCAGGGGGCGTGGCCGACGGCAAGCAACAAGGGGGTGTGGCCGGAGGTCGGGAAGACCCAGAGGGTAGCATTGCTACCGATGAGTACCTGAAGTTGACAAGTGCTCCTCCGGTTGATGTCAGGAGCAGAACTGGCTCAGCCGCTTCTTGTAAGTCTCGCCGATGTAATTATGTTTCTATTTTAAGTAACAGTTTCTGAATTTAGCCCTTATATTATTATACTGGCACATTTCTTAGATCTCACACTTCCTAAGTAACAGGTTGTCGATAGGAACAATAAAGCATTCTGGTGTTCCTTTCTGCTCTTGTTTATAACGTAATTATGTAATCTGTGTGTCCAGGTCAGACAAACAATGTAGCCTCGCGACCTTTGCCCTCTGCACCCTACGAGCAACACAGTCACCAGAAGAAAGCTCAAGACGAGAATGAATATGAAGAACTGCAGCTTAAAATTCCTGGAAAGAAGAGAAGGAGGAGGGTAGAGTTGAATAAGGAAGAGGGAGAGGGAGAGAAGGTGGGAAATGGAGAGGGTAAGGGAGAGGAGGAGAGGGAGGAGATGAAGGAAGAAGGGGAGGGGATGGAGGAGGAGAGAAAGGGTCCTCGGTTTGAGGAGGAAGGGGAGTGGCTTGTCGTCCGTGGAATATACAGCAACAAAGCTGAACTGGAGGAAACAACTGAATCAGTCATGTAGACACAATCCTTCTGCAGCAGTTTAGTCGGTACATCTCATAGGGTAAATTGTTGTTTCAAACTTGACTGAATTTAATGTTTTTTTATGTGTTTGTGTAATGATTTTTGCACTCTTGCAACCCTATTCATTAAGTTGTCACTTGTCATGTCATCGTGTCACTGCTTTGTCTGTTGTAGTTCAGTCTTCAGCATTACACACAATCGAATTTGAACTGTCCATTGCCCTAGCTGGCCGTCTTAGAGTTGAACGTCAGTAGCTACTCTTCTCCAGCTGACATTATCGCAGCAGTAGACAATCTCTCCACTGACTGCGGTTACTGAATACCACTGATTGTTACAGAGCTTACTGATCCTCCCTCCCCTCCGTTATTCTCAATCTCTCCTCCTGCAGCCATTCGGCGCACCATTATAGCAGCATTACCCCCGAAGTTGCGCGTGCGCAATGTTCTATCTTGCCACCCACACAATCATAATACTGCACACACACACACCCACTCTACAGTAGTACACCCTCTGGCCAAGGCAACGTTTTCAGTCTGTCAGTGGTGGGTGCAGCTTTTTGTGAGTAGAAAAGTATAATGCTCTCCTTCTAGCTGCAGATTGTAAAACTAACTCCATATTCTGCGACATGTCGTCGTGTCGCAGAAACTCTGCGTCCTACGGAGCCCTCAGTCCGTGCGGCGGGGCTCAGTTGGTAGTACTAGCCGTAGTAGTGTTGTTGTTTTTGCCGTCGGCCGTGCGTGAGACTGCAGCCGCGGAGCTCTACCCGTTCCAGAGCCACCGGCGGCTCGAGCGGGGAGATAATGAGACGGCAACCGTGCGCCTGGAGACACCGCTCGTTTTTCTGCAGCAGAACTACAGCGGAATCACTGTGAGTTTGTAAAAGTTTTCTGGGTATACTTTCAACGGAGCTAGTGCTACTAGTTATGCCTGCAGGTATAATTACTGTTAGGTATCCCAGCTAGCATGTTTGTATTGAGAAGCCCCGCAATTACCTGGTGAGCAAGAAAAAAGCTAGGACTACAGCTGTTGTCTTTCTTCTGCAAGAGTTGAAGCGCACAAGATTGGCAACCTACAATAGGCGTATCTATTTTGCCTTTGCTTGATACCTTGTTGGCACATTCGTGGCATTTCCATTCCACCGTGATTTTTTGTCGCGGTTGATGGTCTATTAGTTATGAGACTCATTAGTTATTGAATAGCTCAATGCTTAAAAATCAGAGGAGACTCCTGTATTGGACATCAACATGCCCAATGTAATTAATTATACCAACCACACTTTCACAACACTATTCCCTTCATGTCAGTATCAGCTACAGTTAGCGACCAGCCAACAAATTGGCAATGATTTGCAACAAAACAGCGCTCCAAATTTCATCGTAACTATAATATAGCAGACACTATAACAAGCGAAAAACTCTTAGCAACATTGTGGCTGTTGACTCTGTAATGTCATGTAATGTCAGCAGTTTGGGACACTTTATGATTTTCACTCTTTGACTTGAGAAAGCATTGCTCAAGCAACAAATCCACGATTTTGGCGTAGCTACATGGTCTTTGCAAAGTTTTCTAAGGAGGTCTGAAAGAAGCGTGTGCTTCTATTCAGGGACAAAGGGTCACTGAATAAGGTGACTGTAGAATCATATTATGTGAAAGGATGTCTCATATGACTATACTAATGTATAGTGTTACATACGGTTAAGTACTGACAATACGTGGCGTTGTGTATATATAGAAGGAGTAATAGACAGAACAGCACTCTCCCATGATGAATACATGCCCAAATCACGACATGAATTTCCAATTCTGCCCTTCCTCTGTTGAAACGCTGGATTCATTGGTTTTCCGACTTTCACTCCCACTTTTCTTTTGCCACTCTTTTTCCTTCTGTGATTAAATTTTCACCCACTCACTTATGACCTTGTTTCTCTCTTTTTTCTTACTTCTCATATTATTTGCAACTATGTTAGGCAGTTTGCTATTGGAACTGTGCTGTTAAATTTAACACGCATAGCCACAGACACAAAGTCAATATCATACATACAATAATTAATTCCGCATTCTGCGAACAGATTAATCGAATTTCGTCCATAAATCTCCCTTCTATAATATTATACCACTCACCCACTAGGTATGGTATGTTATGGTAGTAAAGTAGTCAGGTATTGCCTGTCCAGGCAGGTATTCGGCCCACACGTATGCTGGAGCTGGCCTATATACACTGCACATTCCTGAGGCTTTGCCTTCATCTCTACCGGTTATCAACTACTACTAGGGACCTTCTGCTTTCTCATTCCATGGCATTCCGGCTAGTAACCTTAAAATCATGTTTGTTGCAGTGATCAGGTTGTTTGTTGTGCAGCAATCTCTGTATCGCATTCTCGAGGATGGTTGAACTGAATCGAGAGAGGGAAGAAGTTGGCAGTGTGGAGAGAGTTAGAATGGGAGGGGAAGGGGAGAAGTGAAAAGATGAGAGAGAAAGTGTGTGTGTGTGTGTGTGTGTGGGTGTGTGTGGGTGGTTGGGGTAAAAGCCTATATACATACCATAAACACAACACAATGAAATGGCAAAGCATCAAATAGTCTGGGCTACGATTTACTCAGAATGACCAGTGGATTCGAAACATGCATAACAACACGCCCGTTCAAGTGTGGTCTTCTTTGCCATGTTGTGTGGTGGAAGGCACGTGCAGCAGCACTGGTACCCCCTTCCCACTGTTTGTTAGGCTCTTTCCGCAAGATTTCACAAGAGTAGGTAATGAAGTGTTTCGCGACGGACCTGTATTCTAGAAGTTTCCTCTGTAGAGCGAGTATAGTTTTCCTGGCTCTCTCGCTATGGTTGGTCTGGTTTCCTTCTATACTGCAATGGTGTCGAACTTACGACAGGCACACACACACACACACATTCACATAGTCTAGTACTTTCTCATACCACTCACTAGCAATGCTAGCATTGATCACAGCTCCCCCCAATACAGACGCTTATAATGGAACTTTAGACTTAACAATGATGTTTGAGTCTATTAATTATATAATTATGTGGGGTTTTAGAAGGCAGTAGCCACTAGCAAAGCACAGGTAAACTATAAGGAGAAGGGAACTAGGCATTCAGACCTTATAATTCACATTCGAGAGCATTAAGAAGGAATCAGGGCACATTAAATGCCAGCCTTCTCCACTGACATTATCAATTGCAGCTGTAGTTGACTTAAAAGATCCTGCATAATGCAGACGTCTGCATACATGATGTTGTGTGAGGTTCATGCATAGCATGTGGCAAGGATCACTTCATACGTACTTCCGTCCATTTCCTACTGCACCTCTTTCATGCACAGTTGGTTTTGCATCCCCACATGGCTTGTTTATATTAATACATATGTTAATACCTATATATGTATTGTACATGTACAGCATGACTCCGCCACACCTGAATAGTGCTGCGTACAAGCCGTGAATACGATTATTGGGTGGTCGTGAATATCATCATCGTGGTGCCCATATGCACAGCTAAAGTGACGTCAGTTAGTAATCAAGACCAGTTTGGAATTCACTGTCATTTGTTTTTTGTCAGAGTACAAGTATTACATGACATGTAGAGATCTGTAGTAATGTACCAATACTTTATGAAACCGGTGCATTGTGTGTGTTAGCCATAAGCAATGCTTGGCGCACTAAATCCTTCTTGCTTCTTCTACACACACACACACACACACAGATCCACAGTGATGGCTACATCTCTCTCCAAACTGAGGCAGACCTATCATCCTCTTCCTCCTCCTCCTCTTCTTCTTCCTCGTCTGGCGGCTCACTGACCCAAGACTCCACCTCCTCTGGCTCCTCCTCCACATCAGAGTTTCCTCTGGGGTCGGGCTCCGGAGTAACTGGCTCCGGAGTAACTGGCACCGGAGTAACGGGGGACGACTCCAAGGGAAATCTGACAACGCTGTTCTCGGCGGCTGATCCTCTGATTGGAGTATTTCTGACTGACGTTGACACCAGTGGGGCAGGAGATATCTATTATAGGTACAATTATACCTGTGTCATAGTGCCTACTACAAGTTGGGAACCTGCGGGGCAAAAGAAAACGTCCAAACTAGTGAGGTGCTCTTGTTTCAAGAGTTAAAAGAACTGTCTTAGGGAAAGAAAGGGTGTCTTTAGTAAAGGAGAGGTGTCCTCATTTCAGGGTGTCCTTAGACAGAGGTTACACCTGTATATGAAGTGAGGGAATGTCTGACAGTGTCCGTGGTGTTTGGCAGGACCATGGGTACACGAAACAATACCGTGGGAGTTAATTTGTTTTAACGAGTCACTTACCCATCGGCCTGTAATGGATAATCTGTTTGTTATTTCACGGGCTGTGGGCAATAGACTGATCATATTGGTCAGTTGATGGATTAGGTTTGCAATTAATCTGTCAAATACGAGCCAGTAATAGATTATTTCTCTCTTTCCCCTGCCCCCTCTTCTTGTCTACCCCCTGCCCTTTCTCATTCTTTATTGCTTCTCCATCTCTCCCTCTCGCCCTTCTTCCCTCTCTCTCTCCTTCCCTCTCTCTCTCCTTCTTCCCTCTCTCTCCTTTCCTCTCTCCCTCCTTCTTCCCTCTCTCCCTCCTTCCCTCTTTCCCTCCGTCCCTTCCTCAATCCCCAGACTACTAACCAATGACACAGATCTATTCTCAGACATCTCTCAGTCAATTCAGAGCTATTTCACAGACCCATTCTCACCAACACAAGCTCTGCTGGTCACCTGGGATGCAGTGGGCTACTATGACAACAGAACTGATAAGGTATCTGCATTTTTAACCCTCGAGGCAAAGCAATATACATGTATATAAAAGACTCTATCACAATATTGTTATAAAGTGAGTGTTCAACACTGGCTTTTTGTGACCATACATGGATTTGTCAGGAAAATAGACTTGTTGATTGGCATTACGTAAGTGATTTGCCACACAATTGGGGACCCTACAAATTGATGGTAGTCATGCATGCAACCAACCATTGGTTATCGATAGTTCTAGAATTGCGCGGAACTCCAAGCATAATATATAGACCATAATGACAAAGAAGAATGCATTCCTGTGCCTATTATATAGTACACACATACATTGGAGTTGAAAGAGACTTTGAATCTCTTGCAAGAAAGTTGCACTGTGCTGTGTATACAGTTGGCCTATGACCAGTTCCCTGTGATATATTCCTCCACAGGCCAATACCTTTCAGACCGTTCTAGCCAGTGACGGCTCGGCCTCCTACTGTTTCTTCCTCTATGACACGCTGCAGTGGACTAACACTGACACTGACAATATCACTGCAACCGAACTACTACCACAGGTAGCTACTAACACCATTAAGAGTGTATACTTATACTTTGCACATGCATTACGTATAGGTTTGATCGTGGCAAGTATGCTCTATAATATAAGTTAGCTCCGTTTGAGGGAACTATCGGATTTCAATGAACCCGAGGGCCTCCGCGTTGTAGTGTCCCGAGCCCACAGCCTCCAGAAACATAACCCGATTGGATATCAATAGCCTAGTGTTCATGTGTGCATGTGTGCACTATTTGAGAGTGTCAGACGATATTCAGTAACTGGTCTTGTATTTCACTCTCTCACTATATATACCCTAGCCGTCTGATACCTATCTCATTGTTGATTGCCTTAAAGCCTGAATAAGGTGGTAAACAGAACTCACTGATCTTTCAACACCCAATAGTCCTGTATTAGTAGACATGTGACTGATACTTCGACTTGTCCTAGCTACATTCATACTGGCTAGTGTTCTTCCTTAGTCCTAGCTACATTCATACTACCTAGTGTTCTTCCTATTACTAGTGTTCTTTGGCTTGCTGGCCCAATTGAATAAGGCAAACAGATTTGAATGTGGAAAAAAGTGCTTCACATGAAAAAAACAAGTTTATAGCACACTAGCTAAAGAATAATATGAGAGGAAAAGAAAGAACCTTAACCCATGTTTGTCATTATACAGTTTTCACTATGGGGCCGGCCGCACCATGGTAATTCATGTAGCTACACTGGAGTGTGGGGGTAGGCTAGCAATGTGTGATAGAAAGCAGATAATCTCTAGGTAACCGACTCTAAAGAGTTCTATGTAACCTGTAACTAATTGCATGCTCCATTGTGCTTACAAACAGGACATGCTAGTGGGTAGCTACTTTTCAAATATAATGTTCAGCCCTTTCATAATGTACATATAATTATGCCTGTACTGGGGGCCGCAAGGGGTTTATTGCTGTAATGTATGCCTTTACTAGTCGGCAGAAGATATATTGTGTCTTTGTGGCATGTGAACTATGTGGAAAGTAAGCATGTGGGATTAAATATCGAAACAGATTTCATTATTCACGGACGGTTGTTCCACGCTAATACATGTATATACTGCCCCCTCTTTCCCCTCTTATCCCTCCACCACACAGTAGGAAAGGGAAAAACAACTAACACACACACACAGGTTTAAACTCTCGTTATTTCTCCTCTCTCTCTCTCTCTCTCTCTCTCTCTCTCTCTCTCTCTCTCTCTCTCTCTCTCTCTGTCTCTCTCTCTCTCTCTCTCTCTCTCTCTCTCTCTCTCTCTCTCTCTCAGGTGGGATTTGCAGATGGTAATACCAGTTACTCAGTCCTGCCTGGCACCTCAGCCAGTACCGGCTCCAACACCAGCTATTACTACCTTGACTCTGGTACATACATACATATACATACATACATACATACATAAATACATACATATACATACATACACACATTGTGGTGATCACATAGGATATCGTATAGCGGTTTACGTTAAGGCAGCAACTTTCGTTTCCATGACGACCACAACAAATAGCGTTTTCTTTAAAATTTCCTCAAACTCGCTAACAGCAGCACACATGGAGATGAAACATGTTTTCTGCTCATCTAAACTAAACAAACTATTGAGGTGCAATTGCAAAAAAAGAGCGAATTCTTGAACAAGTTTGCTGCTAGGAATGGGAAATGGAGGCAACCCTTACTTTCAAGCCACTACTTCCATCTTACCCCCAGCTAATTAATTTTTATACTACTATATTATATTATTTGTTGGAGAAATGTAACAGTAAACTTGTTCCACTTTTTAGAGACGTGTTAACATCAAATGATTTCTCCATTAACCCCTCTCTCACAGACAACTCTGCCTACAACCTGTCGTCAGAGGCAGCCACCACGGAGGAACGTGCTCTTGCACTGGAGAGGCTGAGTAATGTGGCTGAGCCCGGACTGTGGGTGTTTAGGGTTGACACTGCTACAATCCTGTCTGGGGGTACGTATACATAATGTCTCTACAACTCTGTAGCGAGGTAGAAAGGCAAGGCAAGGCAAACAAGTCAACTACACCCAGGACAAATATGTATAATATGTACAGAGTATCCTATTACGTTAATATAATTATAGGGCATTGTACCTAGCATTATAGATGTATGAGGCTATGATAGGGAGTGTTTTGGTTGTCAGAACAACGACAACGAGAGGACTGTTGCACATAACAATGTTTCTTAACTCTAAATAGACGAAAGAAATTTCGCAATCATGTATGCGGTGCGCATATGCCTCTCGCATTCGCTCGCCAGAAATGCCTTGTATTTGATCTAGTGTGGTCCTACTTTACCTGCAGATGTGGATGAGTGTGGGCTGGAGCGAGTGGAGGTGTGTGGTGTGAACGCACAGTGCTCCAATGAGGTCGGAGGGTTTGACTGTTCCTGCGACAACGGTTTCTCTGGCGACGGTTTCAGCTGTGGTGAGTAGGGAGGGAAGGAAAACGTAACGTATGTACCTCTACCTTCACTGCCGATTTATAAAAATAAAAATATATATAAAACTAAAGTTCTGGCCATGCAACCCACATCTTCACAATCCTGAGTTACAAATGCGCTACATAATGTATGTATACAACAAATGAGGTTCAGTTATATAGAAGCTATAATATACGTAGGTAAGTTGGTAAAGAGGTATATACTGTATAGCTATAGGATTGTTTTCTTGGTCTTACGTGACCTTCCAAATCAGTCATTGTTGGCAAAATAGGGGTTAATTATCTCGGGTATCTGGGGTGAACACGTGCATGCAACTGGCTTTGGCATTTAGCCAATTATGTCCACCCCAGATACCCGAGATAATTAACCCCTTATTTTGTTAACAATGACTGATTTGGAAGGTCACGTAAGACCAAGAAAAAGATGCTATACATTTCTATTGGAGGATGCTATTGCCCATATATAGCCAACAGCGACTGCTTTAGAACTAATGCCAAAAGCGAACACAGCTTTACTTATCACACATATGAACATGGAGAGTACAGATATTGACATGTCTGTTGTGAGAAATGCACACAATTGGCTAAATGCCAAAACCAGTTGCATGCACGTGTTCACCCCAGATACCGGAGATAATTAACCCCTTATTTTGCCAACAATGACTGATTTGGAAGGTCACGTAAGACCAAGAAATAAGATACATAATATTGGAGGATGCTATTGCCCATATATAGCCAACAGTCGACTGCTTTAGAACTAACGCCGAAAGTGAACACAGCTTTACCTTACTTATCCTTCACACATCCTTCCTCTCTTCCTCTCTTGCAGAATGTTCAGATGGTGATATACGGCTAATGGGAGGGGCCAGCTCGTTGGAAGGGAGGGTCGAGATGTGTGGGAATGACTCCTACAGCACTGTGTGTGACGACTTCTGGGACGAACTGGAGGCCCAGATTGTCTGTCGGCAGCTGGGCTACACTGGCAGTAGTGAGTCAAGACAATCACGTTTGTTAGGAAATTGGTATATACTGCAGTAGACGTTTCACTTCTTTTCACAAGACTTAATTACGTACCATACTTTGTTGAGTATATAAGCCACACTTTTCTTTGCCATTGGCATGCTGAAGATGCATAAAAAGTGGGCATTTCTACTTTTACTACTATAACCACATCAGAGTGCGTATAATATAATTTTTGCCATGCGACTAATGCTGCGGATGCTTTAAAATGGTCATTGTCCCTAATAATACATAGGTCACATGTTATATTCAGTGGCTTTGTCCACCCCCATACCCTGTCCTCTCGTCCTCCTGTCAGACGTGGTGGCAGTGAAAGGAGGTGTGTTCCCAACTCCATCGACCAACACAGCCATCCTACAGCGGGACCTCACGTGTACCGGTAGAGAGACAACTATCCTGGACTGTCCCACATTCGACGGTGGATCCCGGGACTGCCCCACTGACCATTCTGAGGATGCTGGGGTCAGGTGTAACGGTGAGTTTCACGAGAGAGAGAAAGTCTTGGCCAACTGAAGTTGCATGTAAATAATTACAGGCAGTTTATCTTTGCATTAAAGGTTACTGCGTGGGTATATGACATTTGAGAGAGTCAGTGTATTTGCAACACTTATATATACATACGTATGCTGTGTACTCCATCATGGGCTGGCCTTATTCGTATCAATTTGGCATTTGTACGGGGGCAGTTCAGACATGCGAATGTACATTTATGTAGATTTGCCGGAGTCAGTGGTTGGAGCATACAAATATTGTGGCCGACACATTCCTGCTCTGTGGTTTGGCATGCCACTACTTATAGTAACTCCCTCTTCCCTCCCTCTCCTCTCCCTCCCTCTCCTCCTCTCCTCCCTCTCCTCCCTCCCTCTCCTCCCTCCCTCTCCTCCCTCTCCTCTCCTCTCCCTCCTCTCCCTCCCTCCCCTCACTGCAGCTGTGTGTGAGAACGGCTCAGTCAGACTATCACTAGACCAAAGAGACCCACTCACCAGTGAACTCGTGGATGATGAAATAGCCCGAGGAAGAGTGGAGGTCTGCAGTGGAGGCAGTTTCCAGACACTCTGTGTGGAATTGTGGAGCTACGAGGATGCCTCTGTCGTCTGCTCTCAGCTGGGATTCTCTCCTCACGGTCAGCTGTAGCTTTAGAAGCACGTTCTAGCAAGTGTGCAATGTTTGGCGAGTGTATAATATAGCTAAACTACATGACTTCTGCATCAAACCAGGTGCAACTTAGTGCCTTTCAGCTTATACTACAACAAGTGAACTTAGTTTCTTGTGTGTTTGTATGTGCTTAAAATTTGTGGTGGCTTCAGCGGTTTGAATGCTACTAGGCGAATGATTCCTCATTATTAGTTGCATGTTTCACTGATTTTGAATTCTTTGTCTGATTACAGGGTCAGTGAACCTGACGGCGACTCAGCTGGCTCTACTGACGCCGTCTCCAAACATCACCTCTCTCAACTGCACTGGAATGGAAGACTCCCTGGCCAGATGTACAATCTCCACCAGTGGTTCATGCGCTGATGCTAGCAATGCTGCCGCCATTCGCTGTCTAGGTGGGTATGCATATAGCAATGTATGGTGTACTAATCTAATGACCCAATCATACAGGGGCAGACGATGTGGAAGGTGATTGTAACCATGGAGACCTGAGACTTGGTTCTAATAGCACCGACGCGACGGCACTCTCCAGTGAAGGAAGACTGGAGATATGTATCAATGGTGGCTGGGGTACCATCTGTGATAACAGATTCAGCATCAGTGATGCCCAAGTGGCCTGCTCACAACTTGGCTATGATGACACAGGTAAATGAAGGCTGAATGCAAAATCACCCAACTGTGTATATAATCTGTCTGGTTACATTTCTCCTTTTCGAGTGAGCTTGTGATTGGTCGACGGCGCATTAAAAATTGAACACATAGCAACAATCGTCTGATGAATTTGTTCGCTCTCAAAAATAATCTTGCAAGCTTTCCCAACATCCCACATGCACTTGAGCATAAACCTCTTGTCAGTCAACATAAATCTACCGCAGTTTAGTTTCCACATTAAAAAAACACTCTGTGCATTCAGGATATGTGGTGTAGTCAGTGTTGTGACTGCCTCTATTTCACCTCAGGATCCAGGGCCTTTCCGAGAGCGGAATTTGGTGAAGGAAGTGGCGCGGTGTATCTGGAGGGTGTGGCATGTGAAGGAGACGAGGGTCTTCTCCTGGACTGTGGGTCTAGTGAGGATCTGGGGCTGTCAGAGTGTGGTCACAATGAGGATGTCGGCGTCAGGTGCTATGGTGGGTGAAACTTCCTTACAAAGTCTTCTGTCACATAGGTTTTGTGTAATTTTACGGCAATTGTAAGAACGGATATCAGGGTACCCTTCAATTAACACAGAAGAAGAAGAAGATGGTGCTTTTATGAACTGAACTGGTAGAAGACAAACGTTTATATAGTGTCCGCACATTCTGTAGTGTAAAAGTGGAATCTCTCTAATCCGGACACAAATAGGTCTGAAAAAAGGGCGAGATGCCCTAATTGCAGGGGTTAACATTGCATGCAACAACAGTTGGGATGAACACTTGGCTTAATTAGGGCTCTCCTTAGAGAGGTTGTTATCCCTCTCTCTGCCTTTCTCTGTCTCCAGACTCGGACCAGTGTGAGACAGACAACGGAGGATGTGATCACAACTGCACAGACCTAATTCCCGGCTACCAGTGCTCCTGTGTCTCTGGCTATACTCTGGACAGTGATGAACACACCTGCAACGGTGAGCTGTAAACTCACTAGCTGGTATGTACATACTTCAAACCAAGCATACATTAGCATAGAGCCGTACTCACTAGCTGGTATGTACATACTTCCAACCAAGCATTATATACATCTGTCTTAGCATAGCATAGAGCTGTATTCACTAGCTACATACTTCCAACCAAGCATTATATACATCTGTCTTAGCATAGCATAGAGCCGTATTCACTAGCTGGCATGTACATACTTCAAACCAAGCATACATCTGTCTTAGCATAGCATAGAGCCGTACTCTACTATGCTACTGTCTGTGCATATGTATTCTATACTACTCAAACCAAGCATACATCTGTCTTAGCATAGCATAGAGCTGTATTCACTAGCTGGTATGTACATACTTCAAACCAAGCATACGTCTGTCTTAGCATAGCATTGAGCCGTATTCACTAGCTACATACTTCAAACCAAGCATACGTCTGTCTTAGCATAGCATAGAGCCGTATTCACTAGCTGGTATGTACATACTTCAAACCAAGCATACATAATATAGCATAGAGCTGCATGGAGTTCACGTCTCCTGCACGCTCTAGCATTGCGTATACACCTACATTTTCTTCCCCCTTGACTTCATCTGCCTATGTATGTTGCCGTAATTTTCCTAATACCTACATAGTCCTTCTCCTTGTTTCACTGCATTCCCTCCCTCCCTCTCATTACAGACGTTGATGAGTGTGCCACAGCAAATGGAGGATGCCAACACAACTGTACCAACACCGAAGGCAGTTTCTACTGCACTTGTCTCGAAGGATACGACCTCATCAGCTCCTCTCTCTGCACCCGTTCGTGACGCCTCTCTCATCACCCTTTCTCTTCTCTTTTTTTATTTCACTCTGTCCGTCCTTTCTTTGAACAAAAAGCCTCCTAGCTTGACAAGTTGCCCTATATATCCTAAACCTTCCCTAACGCGCCAACAATACAGGTCCTCTTCTACTGACACTCCAATCTCACAATTTCTGTGTCGTTGTATTCATCTTTATCAGTAAATGACCTACTGCCCTATTCAAACAAGTTGTTGTGTTGGTTTTGCACCAAACATCTGACGGATCTATACTTCAGTCATTCCTTCCCTCTCTACCTCTCTCTACAGCCTGTACAGATGGTAGTGTTCGTCTGGTGGGTGGCTCCAGTTCGGAGGAGGGGAGAGTGGAGGTGTGCTATGGCGTCACGTATGGTACAGTCTGTGATGACTACTGGGATGAACTGGAGGCAAGAGTCGTCTGCAAACAGCTGGGATTCACCTCCGACAGTACGTTTACACATACCTACGTTAAGCGTTACAGAAAAATAATTTGTTTACAGTTTTCGTAGATCGAGCCTGAAAACTTTACCACCAAGTGCGTATTTGGTCTTCTGGTAACCTAACCCAACAATTTCCCCCCTAATTTTGTACATTGCTCGTGAACAACACAGAAACTATACCTTCAAACCTCACCAATTAAACCAAACCCCATATGCTTAAATCCGTGGCATGAAACAGTATTGGAACAATGTATATAGCTCGATTCTAAATGATGCCCATGTGACAATATTGCCATTAATTTCGTTGTCAGATGCTGTCCCGGTTCGTAATGCTGGGTTCGGGGAGGGTAATGGGTCCATTCTACTGGACAATCTGAGGTGCTCCGGAGACGAGGAATCACTCCTGGACTGTCTCGCGGACGATGATGTCATCGGGTCACATGACTGTAACCATGACGAGGACGCTGGAGTCAGATGTGATGGTATGTATGCTCCCTGTAAAATACGAAGAGCTTTCAAGCAGATTTCCCTCCCTCCCTACTGTTTCCCCTCCCCCCGCCCCTTTTTTTCTTATTTCTTCTTCCAAGCCATTTTCTTTTTCCCTTACCATTCCCTCTGTTAGCATGTGTCCTACTACATAATATAAGCTCGTTCTCCCTTTTTAATATTATTTTTTAATCACTTTTCACCTTCTCCATCTCTCTTAGTTTTTTTCCCTTTTCTTTCTTTTCCGAATATTTCAGTTTTAATTTTTTTGCTCGTCCTCTTCAGCCACCTGTGAAGAAGGCAGTGTGAGACTGATAGTAGGCAGTGATGCAGAGGAGTTCTACCAACACCAGTACACTCAGGACTACGATGAGACCTATTACGACAAGGGAGGATTGGCCAGGGGCCGAGTGGAGGTGTGTGTTGGAGGAGGTATGGGACAGTGTGTGATGACTACTGGGACTATGAAGATGCCTCTGTCGTCTGCTATCAACTGGGATTCTCCCCTCATGGTACGTATATGCCCTTTATATACTCTGTTTATCTCCCTTTAGTCTTACAAATATGTACTTGTGTACTATTGAATGAACTATCTGTCTCATAACTCACAGGAGCGATAAACGTGAGTGGGGCGGATGAGTTCTTCAACGAAGGTCTGGGTCCCGCTCTCGTGACCTCTGTGAACTGTACTGGAACGGAGACAGAGATCCTGGAATGCATTCATGTGCCCAGTTCTCAGGGACTCCACTGTGGCACTGCCGGTGTCGTCTGCCAAGGTTTGTCTGTAGCTGTCAGGAGTCTGAGTTAAGCAAAGAGTATAAAAAAACATATGAACAAAATACACCATGTGATGCCAAGAGAAAAAAGATGGGGAGCTCTGGACAGCTGTTTCGGGCTTGTTGGCCCTCATCAGCAGAGCATATGTATATCTTTGTTGCAGGAGTCTAGTTAAACTTAATTCAGTGCACATCTGTCCTTACTAGCTCTCAGGCTTTTCTGTCAAACTCAGTACATACAAATACAGTGTATGCTGCTCTCCTCTTCCATCCAACCGTCTATTAATACAGTTGAAGTGGGCGTGGCAGAGTGCTCCTCTGGTGAAGTGAGACTGGTGGGTGAGGTGGACAGTGGGCGACTGGAGATTTGTCTCAACAGTGCCTGGGGAACCATCTGCAGTGAGCAGTTCGACACCAGCGACGCTTCAGTCGCATGCGAAGCTCTGGAAGGATTCAGTGGAACTGGTAAGTATCGTGAATAAACAACGATGCTACGTACATACTGTCTGTGCCTATCCCAGGCGCGGTGGTATTGACGATGGGATTCGAGACAGGCTCTGGTCCAATATTCCTGGACCAGCTGATGTGTTCGGGGACTGAGGAGTCACTACTAGAGTGTAGCATGGGACGTGCTGTCGGACTGCATCAGTGTAACCACTCCATGGATGTCGGTCTCACCTGCTCAGGTACGTAAATCAACTCTATGATTTTAGTGACTCTTGTGAATAGTAAACTTCTTTAAATCCTGTCTCCTTGACAAGGTGCCTTTTGTCAGGCGCACCAAATCACTGATGATGTACGTCATAATAATATTCTCTTTCTGTAGATATTGACGAGTGCAGTGAAGGACAAGATAACTGCTCCGCGTTCAGTGATTGTACCAACACAGTTGGTAGCTATCAGTGTGAGTGTTTCACCGGTTACTTGGACGAGGGCAGTGGATTCATCTGCACTGGTAAGCTTCAATTATGGTGTTTGTCAAGACCATTTCCAGTGCACATTATTCCTCTGGTGTTGTATGCAAACTCTCGTCTCCTCCGCATGCACTGTAGTCCTCTTTGTGTACATTATCAAGGGATGAAGTGTATCTAATTGTTCCATGATGAGACTGTGGTGGGAGTATACAGTAATCTAATCTATCGCGAATATTTATCATGCTTGCACGTCATGTGCGTATTAGGATAGCTGGCCCTTGTGGGTGATCATATTTCATGGTTATACACTATAATTATGGAAATACTCTGTTTAATTAACTCTCTTACTCCCTCCATTTCTCCAGAAATTGATGAGTGCGAGAGTTCTCCGTGTGACGTTAATGCCAGCTGCACCAATACTCCTGGCAGCTACAGCTGCTCCTGTAATGATGGCTACTCTGGCAATGGAACCACTTGCAATAGTGAGCCTCGACACCATGCACATTTTGAGCTTGTTTATGCAAAGGGGGACTCCTGTAATTCAGAATATTAAAGGTGCTGAGAGAATAGGAGAATATGGGGATAAGCCTAATGAATCAGCTGCAAGAAATCTCAATATCTTCTTCTCCCAGATATTGATGAGTGTGCTACTGGAAACGACTCGTGTGACCTCAATGGCAACTGTACTGACACTGACGGTAGCTATGAGTGCAGTTGCAATTCTGGCTTCACTGGAGATGGCTTCAACTGTACCAGTGAGTATACATCCAGCCCGTAACTAACAGATGGTGTTTGGAAGTTACAGCTCACCAACTTCATTTAAAAACCAGTTGTAATTTTGGCTAATCCCATTTGTTTTAAAATCTTTCATTTCCAAGGGCAAGGGGGGCAAAGCCCTGTGTCAGTGTGCATTAAAAAGACTCCTAAGAGATTATGTTAAAAGAGATGTAATATAGCAAGTCCCCCGATCCTCTAATTAAAACTCTGGGGCTGAGTTCGCCTACAGGGTTAGAGCATGCTCAATAATGAATGAACTGCAATGCCAGTTGAGTTGTAGTAAACTAAGAAGTCATTCAACAATGCACACATTAAAAACGAAATTCCTCCCTATTTTTTTCTCACTGCAGACATTGATGAGTGTGCTAGTGAAGAAAGGGTCTGTGATGCGAATGCTGGCTGTACAGACACTGTTGGTAGCTACAACTGTACCTGCAATATGTGGGTTCATCTGGAGATGGAGCTAGCTGCAGTGACATCAACGAGTGTCTCGCCGAGCCGTGTGACGAGAACGCAACTTGTACCAACACCAACGGAAGTTACACCTGTCAGTGTGACAGTGGGTTCGAAGGAGATGGAACCATTTGCACACGTAAGTTCGAGCACTGCGTTTGAACCTTGTGTTGTATCTGTAGTATGGACACCTCTCTTTCTCTCTCTGTTTTTTCTGTATTGAGCACATGAGATATGAACACCTCACACTGTAGATTCCTACTCCTCCTCTATTAACTATATGCCTTATTACTGTATGCGATATAGTAGGTGAAATTCTGACAATAACATTTCTTCCAGATGAGACCTGTTTTGTTGCCCTGGGTCGTGTCTATGAGTGTGGTAGTAATGTGATGAGTGAGACGGTATGTGAGGACATGGGATGTTGCTTCAACTCCTCTGCCACCATTCACTGCTACTATCCCTCAGGTATGAACAGCATATGGAGCTCTGGATTAGGAATATCCATGACATCCCCCTTTTTTATCTAGTGAAGACCTCTCTATCTTTGCTTGCTCCACAAAAAATGTGAACCATCTCACTTAAACCAAACGGTTTTAGAGCTCTTACTGTCACGACACACCTAAAAATAATTGAGTATATATAGTGAAAAGATGATGAATTGATGCTTTACTATTTAGAATGTTGCATTAAAGAACAGAGGTAATTGTTATAAGATTCGAGTGTTTTACTGTTGTTGTTTTTTTTTCCAGATGTGGATGAATGCATCGAGAATCTTGATAATTGCCATGGCGATGCGGATTGTACCGATACTGATGATGGTTTCAACTGTACCTGTGTTTCTGGCTACTCTGGCAATGGAACTTACTGCGAAGGTAGAACCCCTCAATTAGTGCGCAATAATTATTATTCTTGATAAACTTGCAGCTAATACCTTTCTTCCGAGAATCTGTTCCATAGCCATCGTAGGAAAGTAATGCGTAGGCAATAAAAACCTAGACCTGCGGCATCAACGGATGCATAATGACTCTAGTGTATATTACAAGAAATGCTCTTTTATTCAGATGTTGATGAGTGTATGTCGGAGCTGGATAATTGTGACAAGGATGCTGAGTGTACAAACACCATTGGAAACTTCACCTGCGCCTGTAACACTGGTTTCACTGGAGACGGATACTCATGCAGTATGTTTGGGGGTTTTGTATTAGAGAGAGAGTGGTGAGTTGGAGAATAAGTGAGGGGAGGCAAAGGGGGTGAGAAAGAAATGGAGGAAGACATGGAAGTTAAAACTGGATACAGTAAGAGAGTTGGCAGCTTGGCAAACACCATAATACGTAGATGTGCTATAAGTTAAGTTCAATTACGTGAGTAGCATGCAATATCCACTTACGTACTTGCCAGCAGTATGTCATTTGTATTCAACTGCTATATATTCCCCCCAGCCTGTGTGGATGGGAGTGTTCTCCTCTACAATGGATCAGAAGTGTCCTCTACTGAGTTCTACCAGGGAACTGTGCTGGTCTGCTCCAGTGGACGCTATGGCTCTGTCTGTGATGACTTCTGGGACCAACTAGAGGCCCAGGTCGTCTGCCGACGACTGGGAATGACCTCCTCCGGCAGTGAGATACTAACCATCATAATTCTATGTCTTTGACTCATTGCATGCAGTGTAGCATAATACGCACTTGTGCATAAGAGCTAATCTTCAGCCCACTAATAATGTACTGTTGACTGTAGTGTAGTGGATACAATTCAGTTTCATCTTTACACACCCTCTCATGTACTCATGTACTGTGAAAGTAGGCAGAGCATTAAGGTGAAAGCAAAGACGTACATATATAAATGTCTAATCTGAGCCCTGTTCACTGAGAAGTACTTATTGCAATCAATAGGCTCTGTACCAGTCCGCAATGCTACGTTTGGAGAGGCAACCGGCTACCCCATTCTCCTGGACCAGCTGGTGTGTACAGGCAGCGAGACATCTCTCTTGAACTGTTCAACCACCAACACGATTGGCTCGCACAACTGCGACCACAGTGAAGATGCCGGTGTCATATGTGAAGCTTCTTGTACTAATGGAAGTGTGAGGCTAACACTCGACGGAGATATAGAGGACTCTGTGTATCTTATCGAGGACAGCATTGACGAGTTTTATTTCGTCAAGGATGAGTTGGCCAGGGGACGAGTGGAGGTGTGTGTTGGAGGGAGGTATGGGACAGTGTGTGATGACTACTGGGACTATGAAGATGCCTCTGTCGTCTGCTACCAACTGGGATTCTCTCCTCATGGTAATGAACTTTTCAGTTTTCCAATATCTTATGCACACATTTGAACTAAACGTTTGTTGAAATGATCACAAAAGTTTGACTTTATATGCATAGGTGAAAATTAATCTTCCGTTTTTTTTTCCAGAGCCTACCAAAAAGCAACAATTCTGTTTGCCATTTCTCACTAATTACAGGAGCCATCCCAGTGTCCAGTGGTGTATTTGGAGATGATTTCCAGGACGTGGTACTGTATGGACTCACGTGCTCTGGGAATGAGACTGGAGTTCTGGAATGCTCCTCCTCAGACACTGGATCCTGTCCAGACCACAGTGCTGCGGTCATCTGCCAAGGTTGGACTCCAGTTACTATTGTAAACTTTCTACTTTGAAAGCAGACATCAATATTTATGCTAAAGATTGTTGTCATAACCTCCAATCAGTTTTTGTGCAAAAGATGCACGTAATTATAATGCCACTTTTCTCTCAACAGATTCAGCCACCCAGTCAGCTAACTGCAGTGACGGGGACCTGAGACTGACGGGAGGTGCCACCAGTAACCAGGGACGACTGGAGGTGTGCCTCAACGGGGCCTGGGGCAGTGTCTGTGACAGCCGGGCCTCTTTCACCACCGCTGAGGCTAAGGTGGCCTGCAGACAACTCGGACTACTCCAGGTTGAAGGTGCGTGAAGTTCATATAAGCAGCGAAAACTTTCTCAGTGACCATAGCAGTTGTGTGCTTTGAGGTTGAGTAAAAACCCTTAGGAAACACGGGAAAAACTGGAGCGAGTTTCTTTTCAAACTCGGACGCTCTCTGTAGTATTCTGCAGGTTGTAGTTGCGAAATTACTGCAAGTTTATATGTAAAAGTCTGATTCCACTGCAGATGAGGTTGAGGTTGTGAGTGTGGATGGTTTTGGGAGAGAGGCGAGTGGACCGATATTCTTGGACCAGATCCACTGTGATGGTGGCGAGGACGGACTCTCCGACTGCACCAGTACTGATGTCCACATGTGTACTCACGAGGATGATGTTGGAATTATCTGCCACCGTAAGAACACCTTTTCTTTTATAGAGTGTTTAGTTTTCAATAGACTATTATAACTGGAAACGTGAGAAAAAGTTTCCCACGATTTCTTGGTGGAGCCATATTTTGGTGGAAATTCTATATAGTTTGCTATCATTATACCAATTTTGAGATCCACAGATGACTATAGCATATTCAATCTCATTCACTCAGTCCTTCTCTCTCTCTCTCTCTCTCTCTCTCACCACACACAGCTGCCAGTCAGTGTGAGGTGGACAATGGTGGTTGTGCTCACCTCTGCACCGAGACCATTGACAGCTACACTTGCTCCTGCTATCCTGGTTACACCCTGGACGCTGATGAACATAACTGCACGGGTGAGTGTTACCAACACAACAAGTAGCTCTAGTCCTTCTCTTTAAGACACATTTTCCAACATGCTAGAAACTTGTGAAAAAACTCCAAAAATTCATGTAAATAAACTTTTAAGTCATCTGGTGAAGAATTTATCCACGCTAGAGATGAACAATTCAAACTAACAATAATTATCATGTAATCCCATATTTCTGATATCGTATAGACCTGGACAGTTGTTCTACAAATGGAGAGGTACGTCTGGTCAATGGTTCGTCTGCCACTGAGGGCCGAGTGGAGGTCTGCTACAACAACAGCTATGGATCTGTCTGTGACGACTCCTGGGACCAGCTGGATGCCAGAGTCATCTGCAGACAACTGGGATATGACCATGATGGTACGTATGAGACACTCGTGAGGGATGGAGAAAGAGGAGAAAGTTTGTTAACTAGAGAGGGAAGAGGTGAAAAGAAAAGTGTAATATTATATAGAGCGTATAAAAGGGAATGGGTTGAGAACCAGCGTGTAAGAGAAATGTGTAGAGCTTGAAAGGAAAGGTGGGGGGACAAGAAAACAGACAGAGAAAGAGGATGATAAAGAGAATGATCTGTTTCAGATGTCGTTCCAGTGAAAAGAGCTGGATTTGGGAGTTCTTACTCTCGCCCCATCCATCTCGACGACGTCACATGTTCCGGCAGCGAAGACAACATTCTGGACTGTACCTACTCCCTCTCTGCCGGTGACTGCGATCACTCTGAGGATGCTGGGGTTATCTGTGGGTCAGCCTGTATCAGTGGAGCTGTTCGTCTTGCTGTTGGAGATATAACTGAACTGTATCAAGGACTTATAGAGAGTGTGGACGATAGCTATTACATCAAGGATGAGTTGGCCAGGGGACGAGTGGAGGTGTGTGTTGGAGGGAGGTATGGGACAGTGTGTGATGACTACTGGGACTATGAAGATGCCTCTGTCGTCTGCTACCAACTGGGATTCTCCCCTCATGGTAAAAATATGTCTAGCCAGTAATCCTTCTCATAGAAATAATGTTGTAGCTCTGAGGTATAAGTGTACATACATATCTAGGTTTAGCACTAATGGTCCATTACACACTTGCTACTATATAGCTACTTTTATATCCAATTTCTACAGGGGCAATAACCATTGCTGGGGGTAGTGAGTTCAGTAACTCATCGGTACCAGTGGTGGCAGGGAGGGTGGAGTGTGCAGGAAACGAGACAAGCCTACTGCAGTGTTCCCAAGTCCCTGAGAGCCACGATGATGTCAGTGGGTGTGATCCCAGTCAAACTGCTGCCATCACATGCCAGGGTAAGTCGTCTAATTTGGTAGAGTCTTAATTCGCAAATCACTTCACAGCAAATACTTATGTTGCAGAAAAGGTTTTTCAGATGAAGCATGTTTGCATGCTAAAACCAAAATAAGCGAAACATGTGGAAATACGTATACAGCAGTCAGCATGCGTCCAGTAATTAGCACCGGCACTTACTAGGGAGTATCGGATATGAGAACAGAAGTATTTTGCTAAAAGTCAGCTCAATTCAACATGCCATACAACACACGCCATAAAAAGATGTGTTTCTAGACTATGTCAATGGCAATAGCTGCAACACTTACTTATTTCATGTACAATGACACAGATCCATCCACTGATGCCGGTGACTGTGAGACTGGAGACGTGAGATTTTCCAACTCCTCTGACAACTCTGACGAGGGATCGCGTCAGGGAACTCTGCAGATATGTATCAACAATGCCTGGGGCGCCGTCTGCAGTGATAATCTCTTTGACAACACTGATGCCGGGGTCTTCTGTGATTTACTTGAAGGATTCACCTCCGATAGTAACAAAAATTATACTAAATTTTAGCAGCATGTGTATATAAGCTTAATATGTAGAAGCATACGAGTACTTGGCTAGATATAAATAATCAAAATTAGGTTTAGTGTCTCAGCAGAACGATTCCACTCTTGCTACTATTGGTGGATGTCTGTAAGATTAACATTCACCAATATCTGCGTACGTATCAATTTGCCTGGTTTGCATGTTGACAGTATCTATTGAACAGAAAGAGGGGAGATGGGAAATCGCGAGGGAGACAGCTTTCACTAACTTTCATTCCGCTCATTTACAGGGGCAGCAGAGTTAGATGCAGTTCCACAGACCGCAGCTCCACTGTTCCTCAGTTCACTCCACTGCGTCCAGGGAGACCAGTCATTACTGGACGATTGTAGTCATGATAGACTAGGGCTGGCTGAATGTGATGATGATGATGGACTGGCTGTGGCAAAATGCTTTGGTTAGTAGATTAGTTCTCTTTAAAGAGTGAAATCCTACTAATTTAGAGATAGATGCCACTCTTGTCCCCTTTTCCTCCCCAAGTGCACCACATTAGTGTTTTTGTAATTTTCCACCCTTAAAATCAAGACCCCTTCCTAATCTTAGGCCAGTATTCCACAAATCTGCTTATGGACTCAGGCTATTGCTGTTGATGAATGTGTCAAAGAGTGGTAGCTACTGTTTCATCTCCTTCCAGATATTGATGAGTGTGTGGAGGACACAGACAACTGTTCTCAGAACTGCAGCAACACCATTGGTAGCTACCAGTGTCTGTGTGACGATGGATATCTCCTGGACCCTGATGGCCTCACCTGCAATGGTATGTGTGTCAGTTAAGTCTCCAAAATTCTTTTTTGCTTAAGTCTTAAAATGACTGTCTCAATGAATCTCAGTAGTATACTGCCTTCAGCAGTTTCCCCAGTAATGTATGCGTGTAGGCATTGCTACTGATGGAGTGTTATGCAACATCTCTCCATCATAGAGGTTTTGTAATTCTTTTTTGCTTAAGTCTTAAAATGACTGTCTCAATGAATCTCAGTAGTATACTGCCTTCAGCAGTTCCCCAGTAATATATGTGTGTAAGCATTGCCATTGATGGAGTGTTATGCAACATCTCTCCATCATAGAGGTTTATACGCTTTCTCCTGCAGATACTGATGAATGTGAAGAAGGAACTGCAGAGTGTCACACTAATGCCACATGTACCAACACAGTGGGATCCTACGACTGCACCTGTGTCTATGGCTATAGTGGAGATGGATTCAACTGTACCAGTAAGATACCTTGCCACCGGGAAATTGTTCATCAGTACTGTAGCTAAGGTTCTACTGTCTTGTAAAATGCAGGTGTAAGGGTGGTTGATTTTTTACTGGACATAATTATTATGCAAGTGTACCATTTTATCAACGGGTTAAAAGAGGTTTTGCATCTATCCTGATAGTCTATCCGTTTTTGATGATGAAATTGTTTTTTTATATACAGGTATTGATCTGTGTGTGTTTGGAGAGCCAGACTGCCACCCTAATGCCACGTGTTCCCCCAGAGATGGAGGCTTTGACTGTGATTGTAACACTGGCTACACGGGCAATGGAACTTTCTGCGAAGGTATGCTTTCCTTTGATAGAGCATATCTAACATGACTAGTTTTTTTTTAAATGAGGCAAGCAGAAAGAGTTAATTTCATACGAAGAGTGCAAAAGGCCAAGGGGGTTAGAGGGAGCAAAATGAAATAGCCAACAGGAAAACAATGGAAGAGGGACAGACAGTTTTGAGAAAGAGAGAGCTAAAAAAAGAGCTTCATAACCAACAATCTCTCTATCTCTCCAGATGTTGATGAGTGTGGTTCAAGAGAGACCAACATGTGCCACAGCAATGCCTCTTGCTCAAACACTGATGGTAGCTATGACTGCAGCTGTCTCCCTGGGTTCTCTGGAAACGGCTTCAACTGCACCAGTAAGTATTTTAATTACCACGCTCACCGACATAGTGAAATACAAGGTGTTCTCTTTACACGTACAGTTCAGTCTATAGCCTAGATTTGTGTGACCCAAACTTTTCGTGCTCTTTCTGATGTAGCTGTGCTTACTGTTTGACTTTTAGCCAACACAGAATTTCTAGTGTGTTAAATTTGTTATCTTTGTGTTTTTTGTCTGCTACAGATATCAATGAGTGTATTACTGGAATGGATAACTGCAGCTCCAATGCCGATTGTGATGACACAATTGGTAGCTACGACTGTACTTGCCGGGTGGGATATACTGGTGATGGCTTTACTTGTGAAGGTTAGTTTCATTCATCCAGAAGCAACTCTATGCTAATGTTGGCAACTAATTACAGTGAAATGAGACTTTACATTTTGAAATCTTTGTGTTTGCAGATGTTGATGAGTGTGAGGGTGACCCCCCCTGTGATACTGAGGCTGATTGCAATAATACAGTTGGGACTTTCACGTGTACATGTCGTACTGGGTTCTCTGGAGACGGAATGACTTGTAATGGTGCGTCCAAACGTCGTTGTTGTTCTGTAGCTAACTGATCGCCAAATCCTTTTCTTTTCAAACTCATATTGTATATCTCGCACTATTCAAGCAGTAATCCCTCAACTTGTAGTATGAAGCTAAACCTACATGTTTTTCTCGTGCAGATATTGACGAATGTGAGATGGATACTCATGGTTGTGACCAAGACAACGGGAATTGCACTAACACTATTGGGTCCTATAATTGTAGCTGTAACACTGGGTACACTGGTGATGGACTCAACTGCAACGGTCAGTTCACTATATACTCTATCCACACTGTTTCACATGCATAGCATACCACTACGTTCTAGAGCCCTATTCCATTAATATGTCTTCCACTACTGTCCAGATATTGACGAGTGTACTGAAGGCTCCCACGTGTGTGACTCCCATGCCATCTGTACCAATACCATTGGCAGTCATGACTGTACCTGCACCGTCGGATACTCTGGCAATGGAGACACCTGTGGTCAGTACTACTGTAGCTACGTAATATGTAGGGAGTGTGCATAGAGGCTTTACCATACCACACTTTGGAAGACTACGCCAATAAAAAGAAAATTAAAGACGAGTTAAACTGACTTTAGAGAGATTTTGGACCAACCAGATTCGACTTTTTAGCTATGGATTGAAATCGTTTACATGAGGGGCTGGATCATGGATCCTTATTCATTCAATTTCAGTCTGTTACAATCATTCTAACAATGTTGTCCACCAGACTGTGTGGATGGAGACCTCCTCCTCTATGATGGCAGCACACTCTCCACAAACCACACCAATGGAACTGTACTGGTGTGTCTGGACAATGAGTATGGGACAGTGTGTGACGACTTTTGGGACCCTCTGGATGCAGCCGTCGTCTGCTCTCAACTCGGGTTCTCTGCCTCTGGTCAGTAGCAAAAATCCTTTTTCATAGGCGGGTACATTACACACATCAGAAAATGGTAGTGTTGAAGGTCGAACTACAGACCCATGGTTTCTGTATTCAACCTTCACTACTACCATTTGTGTCATTGACAGTGTAATACACAGTGTTCTATTTACTGCTCACCTCCAGGGTCAATCCCAGTGCTACGCTCAGGGCTCGGGAGTCCTCCAAACAGATCAATAGTCCTGGACGACGTGGTGTGCAGTGGAGGGGAGTCAGACCTGACTCAGTGCATCCACACCACCTCCAATATCAACTGTGATAGATCCGAGGAGGCCGGTGTCAGATGTGGAGGTACTGTACTCCTCTGCTAAACTATGTTCTCGCAGTGCTATATAAGACATGATAAGTAGGGCCTATTACGTATGAACTCAAGAAGTTGTTATGCCAGTTTCTTCGTACATTATGCATGTGCTTGACATGTATATGCCCTCTGTTTTCAAGAGGAAGAGAAAATCTAGGGCTTTAATACAGTACAGTACACAAGGGCTTACTCAAAATGGACTTACTAACAAATCTGATTGGTCGATTCGAATCAGCTATGCACTAAAAGAACTGATACTTTGACAAGTGTGTGTCGAGCTTAAGTGTAGAGAATTACTAATACTTTCTGTCTCTGGCCCACAGCCAATTGTACAGAGTTTGATGTGAGACTGGGAGTTGGTAATCTGACGCAGTTCCACATCTCCATCCACGAGGCCGAGGATTACTTCCTCGTCAAGGATGAGTTGGCCAGGGGCCGAGTGGAGGTGTGTGTTGGAGGGAGGTATGGGACAGTGTGTGATGACTACTGGGACTATAAAGATGCCTCTGTCGTCTGCTACCAACTGGGATTCTCTCCTCATGGTGCTCTTCATACAGCCTTCATTCCATCTCTCTTTCACTTTTTTTTTATGCATGTGCTCTAGCTACCTATTCCCTAATGTGGCCCAATGTTTCAATGTATCTGGTCTCTATTAAAATTCTTCTTCCAATCAATGATATGTTTATCTACAAAAGGTGCTGTTGTTCTACCGGCTGGTACATTTGAGGCGGAAACAGAGCAGGCCACGGTACTGTGGAATGTATCATGCAGTGGAGACGAGGGATCAATCGAAGAGTGTAACCTTACTACCACACCTGGCGTCTGTTCTGAGCCTGGGGCTGCCGTTGTATGCCAAGGTAAGAACTAACTAAATGTTTCATCATAACATTTTGCAGCTGGAGGAAACAAAAAAATCATCTTCATACCTTTTGAACTGTTAGCTTATCATAACGACAATGTCAAAATCCACAAAAACTAAAGTGACTTATGAGTGTTACATACTGAGATGCTGTTGAAATTTGTGTAAACGGTAGCTGTGCCCAAACAACTCTGTGCTCACTATTGCTAACCCACAGACCCCAATACAACAGTAGTGGCAGACTGTACAGATGGTGATGTAAGACTAGTGGGCGGGGCCAACCCTCTGGAGGGAAGGGTTGAGTTCTGCCTCAACTCAGCCTGGGGGACCGTCTGTAGAGACAGATTCGGAGAGTCTGACGCAACTGTCGTTTGCCGACAACTAGACTTTGAATTTAGCGGAGTGGCAGTGCTCGCGGTGTCAGAGTCCTCGCAGGGAGCAGGGCCGATATTCCTGGACCAGTTGTCTTGTGGAGGAGATGAAGGGAGGCTGGAGGACTGTAGGAGAGGCAGACCTGAAGGACTACACACATGTGACCACAGCCAAGACGTATCCGTCAGATGTATAGGTGAGAGTAGCATGAGACAGTGAATTTAATAAGTATTTACTGTGTTTCTGTAAGCATTGCTAGAGTGTAGGCTCATTGCTATGCAGTCATTTCCTATTTTCATGCTACGGTCTGCTCCGATAATCTGTTTTATCGGGTGATAGGAGCATTTCGTTTTTGAGAAACTGTTACAATACCTGTCTCGGCCTATAACAATGTTTTAAAACACTCCGATTTAGTCCCAAGTAGTTTTAATAGTAGTCCCTAACCAAGTTTACCCGAATTCTCACCTCGTGTGATTCAGATGTTGATGAGTGTGAGACCGACAATGGAGGCTGCGATCAGAACTGTACCAACACCATCCCCGGCCACTTCTGCAGCTGTGTGTCTGGCTACACCCTGGATGATGATAATGCCACGTGTGTAGCCAATGCTGCGTGTGAGAACGGAGTCTGCACGTGTCTTGACGGATTCCGGAATGTAGCGGAAGGGAGCGGGAGTGATGTGAACTGTGCTGGTAAGAACCCTCTCATCACTGATAATGTATACATCTAACATAATCCAAATCCTCTTTTAAACTCTTTAGTTATTTTGGTTCTGTAGTCAGAGATTAATTGTAACTGGTCCCAACAAAAATAATAGTAGAGGAATTTCTGTCAGTTCCGACAAGAAATATTCGCATAACTGCTACAAATGTTTGGTGCATTGCATCCTCAAAACCACTAGAGTAAGCGTAACTTAATACTGGTCCTGATCTGAAAGCAGTTTAGTTGACTTATTAGACTCTTGTCGTGCTACTTAATGCAGATATTGATGAGTGTGAGACTGGAGCTCACAACTGTAGCAACAACAACTACTGCGAGAACACTCTCGGCAGCTTCCAGTGTGTCTGCAACAATGGATACAGAGGAGACGGAATAAACTGCTGTAAGTCTACATCAGCCAGGCATCAATCCACATAATACGCAAAAGATGAATGGAGTCAATGGTGTATAATACCTTTTTATCGTGCTCAATCCCAATACTTTACTGCAGCTTGATAATAGCTTTCTTTTAGAGCCTGGTATAAGCTTGAATAAACTATCACAGCATTCATGTTGCAACACAAATGATGAAACTAAAGTTCACTTTGAAGTATTTTCCTTCTAATCCTCTGTGTATTTTTACCTGGTATATACAGCCTGTCAAGATGGAGATCTTCGTCTAGTGAATGGGTCCACAGCCAGGGAGGGAAGAGTGGAGGTGTGTAATGGAAACAACGTCTATGGTACCATCTGTGATGACCAGTGGGGATTACTAGATGCCATGGTCGCCTGCCGAGATCTCGGATACTCTGACGCTGGTAAATTTCATTTCCCAATACGTTAAAACTAGGCTCAACATTAAGAAGCAGAAATTTTCAAAATTAAACACTTTCTACAGATGCAGAGGCGTACGGACGAGCCTACTTTGGAGAAGGAGATGGAGACATATTCATTGAGAACGTGCAGTGCAATGGTAGTGAGAGCTCCATCATAGACTGTCCAACCAGCGAGTTCGGAGTTCACGACTGCTCACACTCTGAGGACGCCGGTGTCAGATGTGAAGGTTAGTCAACTTTGGATATCATGTGAACACACCTCAAAGAGTAACGGAGCCTTATTCACACATGTACTGTTATTAAAGTGTGCATAAAATCCGTCACACGGGTGTAATGTTAGATTTTTAAATTGTACGTTTTTTGCGTTCTTTTGGCAGCACTAAATTACTCCAGTGGGTGTCCCAGTTGTAGTTGGTTGTAGCTCTGGCTGCTATTTCTGAAAGAGACGCGCGGGAGCAAAGCGTTTGCTTGTCACAGCGTCTGTGACATGCACATGTGTAATCAGTTCACTTTCTGTGCTTTTGGTAAATGGCTCCTCCTTCTTCCCTCTCCGTCTTTGTTTGTGTTTCGGTGCCCCTACTAAAGAACTTCGTTCCTATCACTGCAGCTGGCTGTACTGAGGGGAGGGTGAGACTCCTGGAAGCAGACGATGATCACAGTGTAGAGTTTTTTGAGGAAGGACTGGGTCCAGTCAGGGGACGAGTGGAGGTGTGTGTTGGAGGGAGGTATGGGACAGTGTGTGATGACTCCTGGGACTATGAAGATGCCTCTGTCGTCTGCTATCAACTGGGATTCTCTCCTCATGGTATTATAGTCTTTTTTTCTATCTTCATAGTGCTGTGAAGGTTTAAAACAAGCAAAAATCTGTGTAATGTTTTAAGAGAGATTTACAAACATGTATCTTGCCACTGTATTTGCCACTAGCAATGTCCTTAGCTAAAAGGCACTAGCTCTTCTTCAACCAACATTTACTAGTGCAGTAGAACGCATTAAGCAAAGCGTTTTTGTTTGAACGAATGCTCCATTCCATCCTATGATTGCAGGGGCACTCAACCTGACACATGAGGAGTTCAGTACTATAGTAGCTCCGACAGTCCTCAGTTCAGTGGCCTGTGTGGGGTCGGAGGTCAATCTCAGTGACTGTCCACACAGTGATCTTGGCGTGTGTGGTCAACTCAACGATGCCGGGGCCATATGTCAAGGTATGAACACTTGTCTACACATGTATTGCCGATCAATGCACTATAAAACCTTCTTCGCTTTCTCCCAACTTCTTTGCATGAAAAATTCTCTCTTATGAACTAGGCAATAATACACCTGCATACATACGTAAATCATCCTCCATTATTCCATAGGCTAAGAACAGAAACATAGAAGAAAGAGTACAGTTGCTTACATAGGCATAAAGACAGTAGGAGGACGCCCCTCTCTTTTCTCTCCCCACAGTACCAGGAACAATGCCGGGAGGCTGTCAGACAGGTCAAGTAAGACTAGCCAGCTCCACCACTGACTCATCAGGCAACACAAGACGAGGGACTCTCCAGATATGTATCAACGATGCCTGGGGAGCAGTCTGTGACGATAGTCTATTTGGAACACCAGATGCAGAGGTGGTGTGTCAGCAAGCCGGTGGCTACGAGAGGGAGCTGGTTGGAGACATAGGCTCTACAGCCATCTCTGGACCTGTGTTTGTCTCCCAGTTGGACTGCCAGGGAGATGAGGATCGGATTTTGGAGTGCCCTCAATTCGGTGGTCTCGGCTCTGATTGTTCCACTGGGGTAGCCCCTGTCATTACCTGTCGAGGTTAGTTTCGTTTTGCCAGTTTTTACCCCTTGGTGCACAATTAATGTGTACTGTGCTTTTCTGCGCATGCGCCAAAACAAAAACGTGTGGGGTAGAGGTTGATCTTAAACAGTAGTGTAATGCTGTTCCATCTCCTTCCAGATATTGATGAGTGTGTGGAGGACACAGACAATTGTTCTCAGAACTGCAGCAACACCATTGGTAGCTACCAGTGTCTGTGTGACGATGGATATCTCCTGGACCCTGATGGCCTCACATGCAATGGTATGATTATGCTTCTAAATTATAACTTGAAGCTAGCTCTTTTCTGCCATTAGCTGGTATATTGTGCAAATTTCATCTCGCCTTCTCTGCATTAATCTCTAAACACTGTGTTTTTTTCCCAGATATCAATGAGTGTGAGAATGGTAACAACTCGTGTCACGACAACGCCAGCTGTACCAATACTATTGGAAGCTACACCTGCTCTTGCAATACTGGGTTCTCTGGAGATGGATTCACTTGCAGCAGTAAGCTTACCCTTCCAATCCCTTTACAATACGCTCAGTGATACATAATGCTTCTGCCTACTATTATTGTTTGGGTTTATAGTCACTACAAGCTCATAGAACATTACTGTCCTTATATATTTTCCTTCAGCAAATTAACTTGGAGCTGTAAACCTATGTATGTATTATGTTACTTCATCGTGATGGTGTGTGTTGTTAATTCTGCAGATATTAATGAGTGTGAGTTAATGGGGCGTTCAGATTGTCACGCTGATGCTGAATGTCGGGATACTGTGGGAAGCTACGACTGTACATGCAAGTCAGGGTACACTGGCAATGGAACTTACTGTGCTGGTAGGTTTGAGTATAATAATACTTCAATTTGAACCCATCTCTAAGGACACCCCTGCTAGTAAGCCATGGTGCACTCTAAATAACCCCACAAATAAGGACAACTCTCTAAGCCTATTTTTGTGCAGATCTCTGTTATGTAAGTTTTTAAAACTTGTCTTATATAACACTGTGCTAGCATACATGATGTAGTTTCCCCACAGCTTTAGCTGTTTTTATGACTAGTGCCTCAAATACGTATTCTCTCTCTCTTCAGATATCAATGAATGTCTGAATGCCTCAACGTGCGACCCTAATGCTGAATGTACCAACTTCCCTGGCAACTTTACGTGTGACTGCAACACGGGATACAGTGGTGATGGTTTTGACTGCGAAAGTAAGTGTTTGTTTCTCCATCACTCAACATTTTCATCACTGTGACTTTTCAAAGCACAATTTTTTTCCTTTTTTCTTTGTGGCTGTAGCTACATAGTTAGTTGTTCAGCTGACATTCTCCTGGGTACATCAAAATTTTGTATCACATGAATAATATTCATGTGAAATTTTTTCTGTCACTCAGATATCAATGAGTGTGTGACTGACCCTCCATGTGGTGACAATGCATTCTGTACTGACAATGATGGCAGTTATGACTGTGACTGTGATATTGGGTACACTGGAGATGGATTGGTGTGTACAGGTTAGTGCAGAGACATGGAGAGAAGAGAGGAGAGAGAAAAGGTTAAATGGAAGATAGTGTTCTGTATTGGTCACATTGGATATCGAGAGTTACTTAAGCTATGCATGCTTTGCCAAATGATGAGCAGGGAAGGAAGTAAAAAACCAGGGGTAAATATGTTTTTCTCTCCACAGACATCGATGAGTGTGCCATGTTTGATGATCTCTGTCACATGAATGCGACATGCTCCAATGTTCCAGGCAGCTACAACTGTTCATGTAACACTGGCTTCACGGGAAACGGCACCACTTGCAGTGAGTGGAAACAGCACCACGCATGCTGCATGCACAGAATTATTCTGCCTTTTTCGTTTATCCCTGTCGGCCCCTCTTGAAAGTAGATTTTGTGGGTTAAAGTCCCACACACTTCAGCTTTTCTTTTTCGTGTTGTTGATTTGCATTTGCTCTGGGCCCTAAATGAAGATTATTAACTAAAGTACCCTTCATTTTACTGGCATTCTGTGAGCAGACAATGGTTCCAAGCTTGCTTTCATTACATGAAACCCATCCCCATCCCCAGCCTGTGTTGATGGGAGTGTTCTCCTGTACAATGGATCAGAAGTGTCTTCTACTGAGTTCGACCAGGGAACTGTACTGGTCTGCTCCAGTGGACGCTACGGCTCTGTCTGTGATGACTTCTGGGACCAACTAGAGGCCCAGGTCGTCTGCCAACAACTGGAAATGACCTCCTCTGGCAGTAAGATAATTGTTTTCACCTAGAATATACCAATTATGATTCTCCTAGCTAACTTGTCAGGTTTTCTATAGCTATATAGAGCACATGTTATCCTACTGCATAAAACCTCTGTGCATCGTCTATCATGTAAAACTACGTCTGTACTAACACAACCACAGATTTTAGCGTCCCAGTTTTGGGCTCAAGATTTGGTAGTTTCTATGGAGGACCGGTGGTGTTGGACGATCTCGTGTGTTCTGGGAACGAGGCCGACCTCCTGGAATGCAGTACTGGAATGGGATCACACACATGTACCGACCACACCCAGCAAGCAGGAGTGATATGCTCATACAGCACCCCCTGCGAGAACAACACTCTGAGACTTGTTGTTCCGAATGAACTGACTGGCGAAGAACTCTACTTGACTGAGGCGGAGTTGGAGAGGTTCAATTTCATTGACGATGAGATACACAGGGGGAGACTGGAGGTGTGCAGCGGGGAAGGACGGTGGGAGAGTGTGTGTTATCAGGAGACATGGCAGAATGAGGATGCAACTGTCGCCTGCTCCCTACTTGGGTTCTCTCGTTTTGGTAAGGATTAAGAGTAGCTGCATTCCCCATAAAAGGGAGAGAGTAGGAGAGAAAAAAGAGAGAAGAAAGAGAAAGTGGTGTGGGACGAAAGTGAGAAATGAAACAGTGTGGACATATGCAACGAGATAAAGCCCTAGCATGGAGATATTTGCTGGGCGTACGTGATAATAGATTAGAGTTCATTAGCTTGTTAGAGTAATGCGAGTCGTTACTTTCTTTCTCCTTCCCACCAGGTGCTCTGGCTATAGATCTAAATGACAACGGTCCTAACACACCGACCCTCCGGTGTAATGGAGGAAATGAAGGTCTAGTGTGTGATACCGTGACTACCTGTTCATCAGCTGCAGGCCTTGTCTGCCAAGGTATGACATCACACAAGGAGAAGTTGTAGTTGCTTCAAATGTCAAATGTGTAGGGAGTGTTTTTTTTATTAGTTCTTTGATAATACCATGATACGTATACAGAAGAGAGTTACATCTCTATACTACTTTACGCAGATTTGTACATATTTGCTGTTACAAACGTTCTCCACAGATCCTGTCACCACAGTGGTGGAAGAAAATTGTACGGATGGCGAAATTCGTCTCAGTAATGGCTCAAATGCACTCGAAGGTCGCGTCGAGATCTGCTACAACAGAGCGTGGGGAACTGTCTGTACATCTGGCTTTGCTCAGACTGAGGCAGATGTTGTGTGCTCACAAAATGATCGACAGTTTGGATACGCTCACAGCGGTTCCACTCCACTCCGTGACGGGAGATTCGGTGAAGGGGAGGGCCCTATATTTATTGACAATATTGGCTGCGATGAAGAGGACGCAAGTCTGAGTGATTGTTCAGTTACGGGGCTGATGGGGTTCTATGAATGTGACCACTCCCAGGACTCCGGGGTCATCTGTGAAGGTAGCCTACATACCATCTTCTCTTCCCATGCTGAGCTGCCATGGTAGCTAGGTTTGTAGGTAATTGTGTTTTTTAATGCTCCCTCAGATCTCAATGAGTGTGCATCGGACAGTTTAAACAGATGTGATGTTATCAGCAGAGCCGACTGCACTAACACCATTGGTAGCTACAAGTGTATTTGCAGAGATGGATACACTGGAGATGGAGAAGTCTGTACAGGTATGGAGGAAACAATAGAAACAAGTAAAAGGCAAAAGAGAACCAGCATTTCTCCTTTCAGCATATTGAGTGTGGCAGTAGATGTATAGCAATAAGTCCAACCCTGACTGAGTGGGAGAGAGAAAAGCTTGTATTTTGAACTGATAGCCTTTTTTTTAACTGTGTGTGGCAGATGTTGATGAGTGTGAGAGTTCACCATGTGCTGAGGTGTGTATCAACACTAACGGCAGTTTCTACTGCGACTGCTCTGAGTCTGGATATGAAGTTGTTGTGAACAACGAAGTGTGCGTAGGTGAGTAAAAAGTGCTCTTGAAACTTTTGGTGTTATGTTTGTCTTGGACAGAATATTCACTGCAATATATTCAGACACTCGATACTCTGCAGCCTAACAGAATAAAAGTTTTCATTTTGCCTGTGATACAGGAGTAAGAACTGCATGCTTTACTCTCCAGATATTGATGAGTGCCTGGATGAGAATGATAATGATTGTTCCGTGAACTCCACATGCACCAATATCCCTGGATCATACAACTGTACCTGCAACGCCAAGTTCACTGGAGACGGCTTCAACTGCGAACGTATGTCCTTCGGAGCCTATTAATCTTGTGTCACCGTTATTTAGTTTTTTTTGTCTGACCATATACATTCATTTATTGGCAAAAATTGCTATTAATACAGTATCCCAGCTAGAGAATTCTCACAGTGTTTTGATCAGATTGTAGGGATTATGTGTATAGGAAAATACCAACAAAATCATTGGCCATCTTGGATTTGTCTATTTCAGCTCTGGTGTGCCAGACAGACAGTTGCAGTCTCAATGAGGAGTGTGTCGACACTGCCGTTGGCTACATCTGTCGCTGTCAGGATGGATTCAAACGTGACCAACAAAATAACTGCTGTAAGTATAGATTCACAGAGTTTGTGCAGTGATGTGGCCAAAACAAGTACATTTTGTTGCTAAATAAATATTTAAGAATTTGCTGAAAATGAAGACAATTCTCTAAGAAGGACATCTTTTTTACTCAAGCCGTGTAATTTATAATAAGAATACCTACTAATACGTACACTTTATTCTGTCCCATTCGTGTCAATTATAAAAAATTGAGTTGCTCGGGCATTCCATCTATTTCCTATTATTTTCCTATTCCTCTATTCACTGCAGCATGTAGTGATTGGGACCTGAGACTGGTCAATGGTTCTCAACCTCTCGAGGGAACAGTGCAAGTCTGTTTCAACAACACCTACGGAACCATCTGCCACGACCAATGGAACGAAAACGATGCGCGAGTCGTGTGCCGTCATCTTGGCTATAGCAGCGAGAACACCTCGGCCCTTACAAACTCTTTCTTTGGCCAGGGCTCCGGGCCCATATTCCTGGACAGAGTCCAGTGCCTAGGCCACGAGGCCTCTCTCTACAACTGTAGTCTCAATATGGACATTGGGGAGTGCACCCACCGACAAGACGCTGGTGTTAGCTGCTCAGGTACGTACTTTTACAATCAATTTTCTCTGTAGCCTTTTCTAAGCCTCCACGACCACACAACAATCAATGTAGAGTATATACCATAAATGCTATTTTAAACCACACAGAAAAAGCAAAGCCGATATGAGATTGTGGTAGCAGTTTTACTTTTACTTCACTGAAATGTGCTTCTTTACAACTCTGTGCTAATTTATAGAGAACTGTCGGGAGTTTAATTCACCAACAAGTGCTTTTTTATAAGCAGATAATTGTTGGGAGTTTTACTTCACAAGAAGTTTTTCTTTGTGCTATTTTACGCAGAGAACTGCCGGGAGAGCATGGTAGAGCTGCGTGTGGATCTGAGTGATGATGTAATAGAGTCTAACTACCCTCACTATCTGAAGGGAGGGACGCTGAGTGTGGGCCGAGTGGAGGTGTGTGTTGGAGGGAGGTATGGGACAGTGTGTGATGACTACTGGGACTATGAAGATGCCTCTGTCGTCTGCTATCAACTGGGATTCTCTCCTCACGGTATCCACTGATGCTTGTACATTAGTTGCCTGCACTGTACAGACAAAAGTGCTGGAAAGTACCAAAAAAACTGCCCCTTATCTGTCAACAGTACTGCAGACTATTAATCTAAACTACTTTTGTACCTATCACCTACTTTTGTGTCTCAGGTGCTGTTGTGTTGCAACCACTGAATCCGTTTGACAACGTCGACCTGCCCGAGGCGGTTCGCTATCTGGCCTGCAACGGAACAGAGACCGAGATCTCTCAGTGTGACATGGACACCCTGGAGGTCGAGGATTGTGGCCAGTTTGAAATTGCTGGTGTCGTCTGCCAAGGTAACCAACCACCCATCACTTAAAACAAATGGTAGTCAAATTCCGTTGCAAGCTCACCTCACAAAATTCTGGCTACCTACCACTATTTGGTGTCTGTCGTTTCAGATGCATCAACGGTGGCCAGTGATTGTGAGACGGGCTCTGTGAGACTGGGGGATGCTGCAGACGGGGAGGGGGTGAGGGTGGGGAGGGTGGAGGTGTGCATCAACGGAGCCTGGGGGACGGTGTGCAACAGATTGTTCACTCAGGAGGACGCCGATGTGGTGTGCAACCAGCTACCTGGGTTCAAGAAAGATGGTAAACTTAAACTATTAGAGACTTAGAAATGCGATAATACCTATGTGGAATAAACAGGAATGATCTAGTGCATGATCTAGTGCACATGCTGACATATGGTACTCACATGCTCTTTGTTAGCAGTGTAAAGCATCTCGTTGTATACTTTTAAACCTGCTCTCTCTAACTTTAGTTTGAAGCATGATGTGGACTTGTTTTGTTTCCTTTTACACCAACTGTAGGAGCGGCGGTGATGTCAGTACTGCCAGGGACTGGACCAGTGTTTGTGGAGGGACTGCTGTGTGAAGGATCAGAGAACACGATATTGGAGTGCAACACGTACGTAATTCCATTACATTTAGTCTGTTTGTTGTTAGCTGTTTCCCGAATGGAGCTTCTATCTTCTGTATATAATGCGCTTTTTGCTTTCTTTGTCTAGGGATGAAGTGTTGGGACTAACAGAGTGCAGTCATGGCAGAGACATAGCAGTTCAGTGTTCAGGTAAGTTTCCTTATCCCTCTCATACACTGGGACCCTACGATTTGGACACCTCCCTCCAAAGGGCACTTATTGTGGTCCATTGACATGAATGAAGGACGCCTGTGCATTACAGACAGTCATATAAGATGTGCATTTGCAATTGCTACATTTCTTTACAGATATCGATGAGTGTGAGAATGAACTCTCACCGTGCGACCATATCTGCAACAACACCATTGGAAGCTACAATTGCTCTTGTGATGATGGATTCCGTCTTAATATCACAGATAGCAGGACTTGCAATGGTAAATAACAACTTCTTACCCAGAAAATATTGAGATATATACCTTTCAACTCGTGTTGTAAAGCAATGGAGGTTCTAAAAAAAGGCAAAATTAGGTATTGACTATTTTGGCCATCAGTATAATGGAAGATTTTTTAAATTTCAACTTTTTACATTTTGTAAATCTCTCCAGATATCGATGAGTGTGCGGAAGGCAGTCATGGTTGTCATGAGAATGCCAGCTGTACCAATACTGAAGGAAGCTACAACTGTACCTGCATCACTGGCTACACTGGAAATGGAACAGTATGCACAGGTATATTTTACCACATGCTTAGCTAACCAGCTAAAATTTACTCAATTTCAGAGTTTTTTTTTGTTCAAGTGAGTGTCAACTGCAGCAATTTATGTATTATATTATTATCTATCAGCAAGCTTATACTAATAGTAACTCTTTTTTATCTACCTTTGTCTCTCTATAATCCAGATATCAATGAATGTGACATGGATATGGACGTGTGTGCCGGTGAGGAGGTGGCTGAATGCACCAACACTCTGGGCAGCTTTTCCTGCAGATGCAGAGACGGGTACACTGGAGACGGATTCACCTGTGCTGGTACGTATGCTCACAGCTATCATCTCTATTCTGTGTTCGGGTGAATAACAAATTCTATGCACATATTTGCTCTGTCGAGGCACTAGCATCATCAATATCACTTTACTTGCCTTTCTTTCATTGCTATCAAACAAGAAAACGTTCATGAATTTCACAGTTAAAGAGCTGTCCCCAAAATTTTTTTACAGGAACATTTTTGTATAATATTGCAACACCAGCAATAAAGTACTTTACTACTTCAACTGTCTGTAGCTACCTATCTTGCTCATAGATAATGTTAAAGGCCTTAAAATTCGTTTTCTCGCCGCAGATGTTGATGAGTGCGGGGATAGCAATGGCAACTGTTCCCAGGAGTGCAACAATGAAGTTGGTAGCTATAACTGCAGCTGTTTCTCTGGTTTCTTTCTCCTTGATGACGGCCTCAACTGCAATGGTAAGAATATCAAATATCTTTATGACTGCTAACTACTGGATAACCCGAAAATGGATGTTTCCACGAGAATTTTGTAGCTACAAGCACTATTCACTGCCATCCTCGATGACTACATAGCTATAAAGAGAGTTGGAGAAACTCTATTACCTTTGGAGTGCTTTTTACACAATATCTACTCATATAATGGTTTATAATAATTTTCTTTTTCGCACTACAAAGATACTGATGAATGTGAAAATGGAATGAACAATTGTCATGAGGCTAATGGAGTTTGCATCAATATTCCCGGGAGCTTCAACTGTTCCTGCGAAGGAGGTTACACTGGCGATGGAGTAAACTGCACCGGTACGCCCATTAATTGACTGTTGTGTGACACTGAGTGATCCTCTGCATATCTCGTTCAGATGTTGATGAGTGTGTATTGGAATTGGACGACTGTGATGTGAACGCAGACTGCAACAACACCAATGGTTCCTACAACTGTAGCTGTCACACTGGATTCACTGGAAACGGAACAACCTGTGGTGGGTAGCTATACATACAGTACCATTTTGACAGTCTAAGACTCTAGCTACCACCCTGTGTGGGAGAGCACATGAACGGGAAGGTTTCTAGCTCAATAGGGTACATTAATAATGTTTCAATATCATCGTAGGTTTGCTGATGCAGTATAATACTAGGTTAATAGGTTTGCTCATGCAGTGTGCTAAGTTAATAGGTTTGCTCATGCAGTGTGCTAAGTTAATAGGTTTGCTCATGCAGTGTGCTAAGTTAATAGGTTTGCTCATGCAGTGTGCTAAGTTAATAGGTTTGCTCATGCAGTGTGCTAAGTTAATAGGTTTGCTCATGCAGTGTGCTAAGTTAATAGGTTTGCTCATGCAGTGTGCTAAGTTAATAGTTTGCTCATGCAGTGTGCTAAGGTTAATAGGTTGCTCATGCAGTGTGCTAAGTTAATAGGTTTGCTCATGCAGTGTGCTAAGTTAATAGGTTTGCTCATGCAGTGTGCTAAGTTAATAGGTTTGCTCATGCAGTGTGCTAAGTTAATAGGTTTGCTCATGCAGTGTGCTAAGTTAATAGGTTTGCTCATGCAGTGTGCTAAGTTAATAGGTTTGCTCATGCATGTGCTAAGTTAATAGGTTGGCTCATGCAGTGTGCTAAGTTAATATACTTGGTTCTTGTTTCATTCTGTGCAGAGTGTGGAGATGGAGAGGTGATGTTGTACAAAGAAGGGGTGTGGTCACGTGAACCTGGCGAAGGAACGGTGTTTGTCTGCTACAACAACACGTACGGATCAGTCTGTGATGACCGCTGGGACGCCAGAGATGCCAGCGTCGTCTGTAGACAACTCGGCAGCAGTGGTATATACATCTCTAATGATACTCTCTGAGCCATTACAACTGCACAGAAGTATTATTATAAACCTTGTCCAGTAGCACTAAGTCCACCATACTTTAGGATGTTCAATGGAAAAGTTAACCTACTAAAGATAAGTTGGTGCTACTTCAGAAAGCTGTGTTGTCACTGAAAACATTGTAATAAAAGAAACTTAATGTGTTTTGTTTTTGTGCTGTTAGCTTTGCACTTGCCTTCCTGTAAATCTTGGTGATTCTCAAACTTATGATGTTGGTGTATTGGAATGCTCTTGTAAGGTGCAGAGGCTAACACGATACTTACACTCACACTCCATCCCCAGACCCCGGTAACTCTCTGCCAGTGAGAGGCGCACGGTTCGGCTACCCTCTGAACTACCCCATACTACTGGATGACCTGGTGTGCAGTGGAGGGGAGGAGACTCTGCTGGAGTGTCCCAGGGGCTACAGAAGTGGGGAGATGTTGGTGGAGAGGGAGTTGGGAGACAGCGATTGTAGCCACGAGGAGGATGCTGGGGTCAGGTGTGATGGTGAGTCTGTCTCAGTTAAAGCTACTGCACCCACTTCCAACATGCACCCTGCAATTATTATGCTTTGCAAGTTTAGTATTAGCTTTCCAGACTTTGTAAAGCAATTGGTGGTTTCTAGCAACTGCCAATCCTCACTATCACCATGATAACCTAGCTATATAGTACGGGGGTAAGACACTGTTATGCTCTGAAAGCGAACATCTTTATTTAGAAAAATCTGTAGAAAAGATGGAGGAAGGGGAGAGAATAAATAAAGAAAAGGATGCATTAGAGAGAGAGATTAAAATGCCTGTCATTATATCCCCTGCAGCCTCATGCATGGAAGGAGATGTGCGACTCATGATAGAAGACTACTATTCAGCGGACCTGACCTTCGACTATGAGAATATGTACATCAAAGACGAGCTGAGATTTGGAGGGGTTGAAGTGTGCGTGGGAGGTGAGTTTGGCTCCGTGTGCCACGACCAGGTGTTTCGCAACAGCAAGGCCATTTCTGTCGTCTGCTGGCAACTGGGCTTCTCCAGATACGGTGAGTCAAGGCACATTCGACCGCAACACTTGAACTACATTATTGGTGGGGAGCAAATGCAACTGCCTGAATAAGTTGCCATTGTACTAATGTTACTGCACATAAAAATTGCCAATATGCCAAGTGCAGAAAATGTATTCGTGTTACTGCAGAAAATATACCATTATACTAGGTGCAAAAAATTGATTATTTTACTGCACAAGAACCTTGCCATATTATACCAAGTTGCAGAAAATGGTCATGTAACTGGTATATAGTGCATAAGAATGTATTAAGCTCTCCCCTAATGTGAGTTTGCTGCTCCCTTTGTGTAGGTGCTCTGTCTGACAGTGGAGATCTGTTCCAGGCAGGAGAGAGGGACCCAGTGTTGAGTCAACTCAGCTGCGAAGGCTCAGAGGACCACATCTCTGAATGCTCAAACAATACCGTCAACGTTGATGCCTCGTGTCCCGCTGCTATCGCCATCTGTCAAGGTATTCTGACTCAATGTGTGTATTCTTTTTGTATGCATCTCTTGTATGCACAGTATATTTTAATTATCCATTCTTACCCTTCCATTGCTGATTTCCTTCTCTTGGCTATTGTACTTGCTCTGAAAATTATACCATATCTTACAACACGCTTCTGCTTGTTTTTAGAGGTGGCCATGTTAAATAAACTTGTGAACTTACTGCGAATTACACAAGTATGGTCAATTGCCCTTTTTTTCTCACCCCCTACCACACACTTGTTGTCCAGATGGATCGACTCCACCAGGCAACTGCAGTGACAATGAAGTGAGACTGATGGATGGGTCCAGTGCCCTTGAGGGGAGGGTGGAGGTTTGTCTCAACAACGCCTGGGGCACCGTCTGTACTGGAGTCAGCAGTATCGACGACGCTCAAGTCATCTGCAGACAAGTTGGACAACTTCCAGCTGGTGAGATATTCATCATACCCAAAGTACATTAAAAGTGCTTCACCTGAGCCTCGTATTCACAGCGGTGAACAGAACAGGGACTCAAGAGGCAGTCAGTGACGGTTCCTTTGGTGACGTGTCTGCACCAATCTTCATCGACCGATTGGACTGTGTCGGACCTGAGGATGCCATAGTCAACTACGGAGACAGGGAGGGTGTGGTCTCGTGTCCGTCTTCACGAGTGGGATATGTATTTGACAGTTGTGAGAGAGATCTGGGAGTGAGATGCCCTGGTATGTTATTGGCAGTTTGAGTATAGATGGGTGTATAATTATGTCCGCTGTTCAAGATGCTAAGTCATTGAATAGTACTTTTGCTTAGTACTCTAGCCCTATGGATGAAAACTGGCTCTACTTTACTAGAGTGGGTTTAGGCAATCTTCAAGTTTAAGCTGAGGACTCGGAGACTGAAATTTTTTTGTCAACTTGACTTTCCGGGCCAGCTATATCCTTTACTAGTCCAAGGGGAGTCTACTATGCTAGTTGTTTGGCCTCTCTGAACACTTGGCATGTGTGCTGAACTGAATAGTAATACAACAGAACTCTAATGCTCTGGGGTGATGTATTGTTATTCCTCTCCACAGACGAGAATGAGTGTGAGACTGGGGGTCATAACTGTGATCCCAACGCCATGTGTATCAACCAGCCCGGGTCCTTTGACTGCCACTGTAACACTGGATACACTGGAGATGGAGTTGACTGCAATGGTATATACCTATTATCTCACCACTTCTTTCCGTTACCTTATTACACCACGCATCATAGAACATACTATTAGGGTTGAACAGTGCTTTTTATTGATTACAATACGTTTTTATTTTCCATTACAGATATTGATGAGTGTGCATCGGACATCAGTGGATGCAGTAATAACTGTACCAACACCCAGGGCTCTTTCATGTGCAGCTGTTTTGATGATGGGTTTAAGATAGGCTCCGACGAGAGAACATGCGAAGGTGAGTGGTGGGTAAACAAACGGCCTTAAATCCACCATACGTGGTGGATTCAAGCAACCTTGTTATAATGGATGATGGGCCTGTTGAAAGCATAATGTGCAGCCCATCCTACTTATGCTTATAGTAAGGCAGTATTTGAATGTGATATTATCTTCCTAATTCTGGTTGTTCGGTGCAGATATTGATGAGTGTGATGGGGAGCAAGACGACTGTGAGGAGAGGAATGTCAACTCCACCTGTGTCAACAATGAAGGAAGCTTCGACTGTGAATGCACTGGAGGCTTCACTGGCAATCTCACCTCTTGCCTAGGTTGGTCAGAATATTTAGAATTTTAAAGCATAGTTTCACCATACAACCCATTAAGCAAGTGTACATCAATTTGAGTTTGTCCTCATTAGGTTTTACGTTACTTTCATTTCAAACTGCTTTTTTCATCCACAACTCAGACATTGATGAGTGTGAGGATGGCACAGACAACTGCCACGATCAGAGCACATGTCTCAATGCATTTGGCAGCTTCACCTGTGTCTGTGACGGTGGGTTCTCTGGCAATGGAACTTTCTGCGAAGGTATTGTGCCCTGACACTGTAATGAAAATGAGGTTCAAGCACTGTGGTTAGCTTATTATACTGCGATAATCCCAGCGCTCAATAGTTAGAGTGTGCCTTGGGAACTGGTGGAAGGGTTGGTATGTTTCATAGTCCAGATAACAATTATCTGTCTCCGACAAAGGTTTTACATAAGTTTGTCTCTGTCTTTGAGTGTGTGTGTGTCAGTGGCTATGGTGCTATAATAAGTCCCTTCCATCTTACTACCTCCAGATATTGATGAATGTCTCTATGGCATGGATAACTGTGACGAAGACAACAGAACAGTGACTTGTACTAACACATTCGGTAGCTTCACGTGTACCTGCAATGAGGGATACAGTGGAAACGGCACTTCCTGCATTGGTATATACATATATAGCATTCTGGCAGGATTTCATTAAGGTTCATGTGTAGTTAGTAATCATTGACGGAGCTGGCATAAAAAATATGGAGTACGTGTGTAGTTACTGATCAACTAGAGAGCTCCTATAGTATAGTAATACTTTTTTACTATACCTGTACTTTAGTAAACTAATAATAGCAATAGCTAACTAGAGAGCTCCTATATTTTTTGTGTAAACTAATAAGAACCCATGAAACGTTAGTTGCTCAACCATCTGTGTTAGCTAGCACTACTTGTTAACTCCTCAACCTATGAATGCTTGCTGTTTGTCTGTTTCAGATATAAATGAGTGTATGGACGATACACTTAATGAATGCAGTCCCAACGCCGATTGCTTAAACACCGAAGGCACTTACGATTGCACGTGTCGGACTGGCTACAGTGGGGATGGACGCAATTGTGGTGAGTTGAGGAAAGAGAGACATGTCATAAGATAATGGTGTCACACGCACAAATAATAAAGTCCAAGAGGTATTCTAAAGCAGTATACTCTAAATCGGTTCACCCTAAACGTTTTCAAGGGAAGCACGAAGGTTTGCAAATTGTTCCTCTGCCTAAAAAAATCGCAATCGTGAAAATGGTGTCCATAAGTTTTAACTAAAACCAGTACACTCCAAATGCCTTCAGTTTTGAGTTTGTAGATTCTGCACTGTGCTAAGGTTACCAGTTAGAGTACCAGCACCTCTATTCTGTGATGATTCCCCACTCACAGAATGTGTGAATGGTGAATCCAGACTAACGGGAGGGGCCGGTAGTCTTGAGGGGAGAGTGGAGATCTGTGTCGACAATGTCTACCGGACGGCCTGCGATGACCTCTGGGACGAGAGTGAAGCCAGGGTTGTCTGCAGCCAGCTGGGCTACACTGGACCAGGTACATACATACCTACCCAAAGTATGGCACTCACTGCACTTCTGCTCTGATGTGTTTAGACAAAAAGGAGCTAGCCAACTCTCTTATAAGAAGTTGTTTTGCAGCAGGAAGTATGTTGGGGAATCTTGGTTGTTTTCCTGCATGCACTCAACTTTTGTGGACTGCTGATAAACAGTGAAATTCGTGAAAATTTGTCTCTCTTAATGTATTATTATCGGTGTCTCATTAACAGCATCATAATTATTGCGGTAATTGATTTTTCTTCCATTATTTCTCTGGTGCAGATGTGGTGGCAGTAAAGGGGAGTCAGTTCCCAGTCGTGAACAGCTCGGTGACAGAGATATACCAGAGAGCTCTCCTGTGTACTGGAAATGAGGAAACCCTGATTGATTGCTCGTCTTACGAGGATGGGATTGGCCGGTTGTGTCCAACTGATCACAGTGAAGACGCTGGAGTCAAGTGCAATGGTACTTCACTCAAAACCATTCCCTTTTTTTCTCTTCTTCTCTTTTCCTCCCTCCCTACTTTCTCTCTTAGTTACTCCCTGCCTTGTTCTATTTTTCCCGTGGTATATCAAGATCACAGTGTGTCCCTCCCACCTCTCTCTCTCTCTCTCTCCCATTATTTCCTGCAGCTAAATGTACTGAAGGAGACATAAGGCTGCGACTGAGACCAGGGGTACTAGGACCACAGTCATATGAACTGATAGACAAGGAGCTGGGTCGAGGAAGAGTGGAGGTGTGCCTCAATGGAGCCTATGGGACAGTGTGTGATGACTTCTGGGATCATATTGATTCCTCAGTCGTCTGCAGACAGCTGGGATTCTCCCCCTATGGTCAGTCAGTCGCTTGTCTCTTTCTCTTTCCCCTCTTCTTTCTCTGTCTGTCTTCTCCTCGTGCATGGAATTGGCTGGGTGACAACTTGTGCACTGGGTTTATGTTGAATATTGTGTACTGGCATGGAAACTGAGCTTAAATTAGTAAGTAAAAATATGTGGAAGAAATTGCACTGTGCACTGTGTTGTGCGTCTTTTATTCCAGTCAGTCGCTTGTCTCTTTCTCTTTCCCTTCTTCTTCTTTCTCCCTCTGTCTGTATTTCTGCAATGGGCATATGATTATGGTGGCAGCTTGTGCACTGAGTTAAGTTAATTATTAAGTGTATATTATACTGGCATGGTAACTGTGTACGTGGAAGATTGTTTGCGTACTGTGTTGCGTGTCTTTATTTTAGGATTTATTATCGTTATCCTCTCTCTCTCTCTCACTGACCTATCATACCACCCCACTCCAGGTGCCATTGGAGGAGGAGAGTATTACGGAGACGATGAACGGAATGCTGTTCTGAGGTTCATCACGTGTGTAGGGACCGAGTCTCGTCTCATCGACTGTCCATTCAACACCTCTGGCACTGATGTCGGCAGCGAGTGTGGCCCTCTGAAAGATGCTCATGTTGTCTGCCAAGGTGAGATTTGGTCCACTGTCCACATCACAGAAATAGCTGTGAACTACGTAGCTAGTTTAGTCTTTATCTCTATTTATGAGCACTATGGTACAGTTTGTGTTATGGATACTTGCACAAACTACCATGGATTCAGTGTCTTTCTTCTTTCTTCCTCTACTTATGCGGTTTTGGATAAGAGAACGAGCACTGTTGTATATACCACTTTGTAGCTTCTTGCTCAAACCAGAAGTGTCTCCTTCTCTCCTTCCCTTCCTCTTTTGCTTACACATTTGACTTTTCTTTGCTCCCCTCTCTCTCTCTCCCTCCCCCCAGATAAGAGTACAACGGTAAGGAACACCACCTGTCGGGACAGAGACCTGAGACTGGCCAGTGGTAGCACAGTCAGAGAGGGAAGAGTGGAGGTCTGCTACAACCAGGCCTGGGGCACCATCTGTGACACCGTCTATGGAGATATTGCAGCCGGAATCCTCTGCCAACAACTTGGCTTCCGTCGTAAGCTTGATGATTTTTACAATACTTCTTAATGCATTTGCTATGCCTAATGCCATGCCTCCTTGTGTTATTCAAAGTGTTTTAAAGGCTTGTGTTTTGAACACTGAATACCCATGGCAAATCTTTCTATTTCACTTACCCTCTACCAGTATAGAATTTTATCCATACAAAACAACTTCCATCAGTAGTAGACCATTATCTGGCGATATCGCTCTGTTTTCCCCCCAAATTCTTTTGTATCAGGTAAAAGTACATCGACATCTGGAGGCAGCCCGTATGAAAACATACCACAAGGAACAGGACCAATCTTTGTCTCGAGACTCCAATGTCCCTCCACACCGTCCACAACGTCATACGTGGAGTGTTTGAACGAGAATCTACTGGGGCTCTCTGACTGTAGCCATTCCGATGATATCGGACTCATCTGTGATGGTAAAAAAAGACCTAGGTTTTGCTGTTTTGATATGACTCGCCTCTAAGTATGATCAACTAGGGAGTGCAGCAGTAAATAATGGCTGAATTTAGAATTGTTACTAAAATAATATCTATTGATCTATAGTAGCATTTCTAAATGTAGCCCTTACTATACTGCCAGATTCCCTTTAACTGCGTCGATATTGTCACACATTCTGCAGCCTACTGCCCCGACAACAGCACGAAGGGTCTCCTAGGTAACTACAACTGGACAGAGAGAGAGGCAGAGGACGTACAAAGACTCCCCTGTGCCTACATGGGAACAACCACCCAGGGTTCATGCAACATATCCCAGACCCACGCCGCGAGACGGTGTAACGAGTACGGAAGGTGGGAGGAGCCTGATCTCACCTACTGCGTGTCTGAAGTGACTGCAAATCTCTGCTTCATTAGAGAGGTCTGCCAGGAAACATCCTCTCATACTAGCAAATATTCCATACACATAGGACTGTTTAAATTTGTACTAGGATACCACATTCACTAATCAGTATCTGATGATTAAGTTCTACAAACCAGTCTTTACAAAAATATTTTCCTTCTTCATTTTGACTAATGATATCAGGACACCCCGCTCACTAATCAGAACACTTTCTCTCTGTATCTGATAAGTACAACAGTTCCTCAAACTATTCCTGTCAGTCGTATCGTTGTTCCTATACTATACCATATACTCACTGTAGATGGAGATAACAGTGGCAGCAAACTCGCTCATGGCACTCTGGAATGAACTAATAGCAGCGAATGACCCGGCAGATCGCTCCAGTCAGAACCTGGAGACGGTGGATCTGCTGTTCCAGAGAGTGGCCATGAATGATTCCATATCGGTCGACAACGAGACGCTAATGACAGCCACTGAGATCATCTCTGTCATTCAGAGTTGGGGGAACAATGAAACTACAAGACAAATACTCCAGCAATACTCTGCCAAGTGAGTGTTTGATCACAGAGTCTCTGTTTTGATCTTAATGTCTATGCCTATCTGAACTTTTTTTCTCCAAGCCTTAACTCTTAGACAACCCTACCTTTTTCTGCAGATTTCGTATATATAAGCATTACGCTCACTTTTTGCCTGCATACAGTACCTTTCTTTTCAATGGTATAGTATGTATGTACATAGTGTATTGGTCAACTTTTCAAAAGTGTTTAGTTAAGTGAGACTTTCAGTGGTTATTTTCATCAAGGCTTTATATTGATTGGCCAAAGTGTGGTGTTATTTGTAAAGCTCAACTACACATAATGCATGCCCCCCATTGTCTGCAGCATGTTGGCTACTATGAGGAGATGTCAGAGAAGTTTGCTAACAGCGGCAGTCTCTTCTCGGGTCCACTACGGGTTGGTACTCCGGGTGTCACCTTCCATGGAGAGAATGTAAGTCAATTCCTCTCTTCTCTCTCCTCTTTATCTCCACCCATGTCTGTATTTATGCTTCTGTGTATATCTTTTAACATTGCATTCTCCATGAATTCTATACAGTTCAATGACACAGTAAAGGAAGAAGGAGTAAAGATATCAGTTTCTATCAGCAAAAGTGGTATGTAATCTAATCACTTCAAGACCAAGGCAAATATCAGCACTACAATATCCATTTTTCTACGCTCCTAGTTTTACCTCTGAATTTTTTAATTATCTCAGGAGAATTAGAGACCACAGCAACCTCAGCCAACGCATCACGTGAGATTGAGGAAGAAGCTTTCATCTCCCTCCCTCCATCTCTCTTCCAACTATTCCCTGACAACGACTCTTTCTCTCTCGTCTTCACGACGTTCAACACCTCGGTTCTGCTGCCACAGGCACCAGAGAGCAGGGTCAATGAGAGCATTAGAGTTGCTAGTCACGTCATTGGGGCTACACTGCTGGACTACGATATCCAGAACCTGACCAACATCACCATCTCCATCACACTACGTCTGGCAAATCCAGTGAGTTGCAAGGCACCGAGGCGTTGACAAAGAAATGTTTTGAGTGACGTCATTGTTAGACCTCGTTAATCCAAAGCCCCTCTACTCTTTGCTCTTTATCACTTTTGCAGGATTCTCAGACAGTTTCTTGCGTAGTGTGGGACAAAACAGCAGCAGGTACAGTCTGATTTACCCTGATTACCCACAGACACTACTACATAGTCATAAATATGTAAAACCTTTTGCCAACTGTTAATATACCTTCACTTTATAGGCCTGTATGTAGTATTGTACACACGACCTTGGTCGCAATAGTTTACTAGTCAAAATCAAGGCATGATAGAGTGATTCTTGATGTTGTTGCACCCATGACCTGTTACAGGGCAGGGTGACTGGGTAAGAGATGTTGAAGGGTGCACCTACAACAGGCTGGACAGCAACTTTGTGCGGTGTGACTGCAACCACTTGTCATTCTTTGGAGTTCTTGTGGTAAGTGTTGGAAACGTTTTGTGAGTAGAGTGAGTGTAAAATTTTTAATTTCCCTTCTTTCAGAACACAGATCCCGTCATATGTCCAGTTGGTCAAACCGCGAATGAAGACAGAACCGGCTGCATCCGTAAGACATACCACCATTTTTAGCTATATTATACTCACACATCTGGGGTCTATGCCAAGAATTGAGCGCTTGGGTGAAGTCCAATGCTCGAACCCAAAACACCCTAAGCTGAGGGTTTTTTTTACCATGCCAGCTCGGTTGTGAAACAAAGACAAACTTGTTTTACTTTTTTTCCCTCTATGCTTTGTGAATTTGTATGAATTTCCTGTCATTCCTGTCATTCCAATCTGAAAGTATATACCACTTTTGCACAACGTATTGTATAATATTTCTTTTTACCACATTGATTTCATTTGCAGCCATCCCACCACCGATATCACTGGGAGAGACAAACTACTCGCAGCCAGCCACCTATACCTCCGCTGATGGAGGTGACAGAGTGGTAGAGTATTCGGTCCACTCTGGAGCTCAGTTTGGTCTGGAGTGCAGCTCAATCGCTACTGAGAGTGAGGAGTTTCCTGGAATTGTCACCTGGTACAGGAAAACCACAGACGGTACGTTTGCTGCCTATGAGAGTAAAAGAGTGATGGTTGTAGTTGTTTTAAGCACGAAGCAGGTTTCCGGGGCAGCAGATAGTTGTTATGGAAATGGCAACAAATTATTGTTGCCTGGGTTTTCTTCGTTCGTAATCACATAGGATTTGTCGGCCCCGGTTGTGATGAAAAACCCTTGGGCCTACTTCCCTTATGCACTAAGTACCTGCATCAGCGAATTACATGTGGCAACATCACGAGTATCGAATCTGAACCTCACTTAATTCAATTATCTCTCATGCATTGACGCAGGAGGAATGGAACGGGTGGAAGAGATATTTGTAGGCAGTGGTGATGCAGCAGTGGGCTCGGGCTCATCAGGAATGACTGACCTATTCACCAGAAGTGCCCCTGCTCTCAATATGGACAGATCTGGAGCTGACATTAGGGACTTTAATCTCACAGAGGACTCTGTGGGCAGATTGTATGCCTATCGTTACACCAATACATCGGTGGTGCTAGGGACCAGATCAGCTGAGATAGACACCGGCCGGGGGCTGTACATGGCTGTCGGTCTCTCTGACTCTGCTAATGGAGAGTATGTGTGTTTTGCTGAAAACTTTCTAGAGAGGGAATTGAGAGGAATCAGCACTTATACTGTCACCATTGAAGCACAAAAACGTGAGTATCTTTCATCCTTACCAGTGTAAATGCCTTATGATATCCTCGAGATAATTATAGAACTTAAATATTATCATTTCCAAAAGTTAAAGTGACCTCTTACTAGCTTGTGATAGTAAGAGTCAGCATGCGTACAGTATCAGCCCCATGATTAGAATCTGAATTTAGTAATGCGCAATTTCTTTTCTCCTAGTGCCACCTGGACCACCTGCCAGCTACCTCAGGTTCTCCACCAGTATTCCTCTCTCTGACATTCAGGATCAGCTGTACCTGGCCTCCGTCGACTTTGTCTTTGCCATGTTCCAGACCATGGTACACAACACATTCTCTTCATACAGTACCACTGAACATGTTGACTTTACACAAAGGGGAGAGAACCAGCTTTTATATCCTTTTAAAATTTGTTCCTCCACCTGTCAACCACTTAGTTGCTGTATAATCCTGTTTTAAAGTGAAATATGTTTCCGCATGTACAGATCCAAACTTCCTTGGGGCCTCTCATTGGAGTTCAGGTTGACATCTCATGCACGAGTAAGTCTCTTTGTAGCCTTTGTTAGCTACATCACTCTCTCTTTTTATCTTTTTATCCCCAACTGTTACCCTCTCCTCTCTTAACTCTGCCACTGTCATTTTCTCAAACGCAGTCGTGGTTCAACGGACACACTGGGACAAGAGAGAATCGAGTGTCAAGCCAGACTCATAGACCCTGCAGACTCTAGCAGAGCATCCATGTCAGATCTCACCTCTGCCTATAGAGAACTGTCAACACAACTGATGCCGTTTGTGGTGGCAGACTCCAGTGCCTTTTCAGGTTAGCTGTAACAGCAGACGTTGTTCATATATAGACCCATAGGTCCCTTGTATTATATGGGGCGAAGAAATTATCATAGAATTTCAAAAGGCAGAAGAAGACATGATAGTGTGCATTCACAAAATGTCTTGGAAGTACACGAGCACTTAATGATTAACTCTATAAAACTCTTGTGTGTAGTAAACATAGGGCTTTAGCTGGGGGTTGGTTTGCGGCGTTAAGAATACGATATTTCACAGATGACGGATTCTGCAATCGCGAGAACGAAAAAACTGACCACGGGAGGTACACCTGGACTGAGACTCAGGTCGGAGAAACTGATAAACAGATATGTGATGAACGGACCGAAAGATGAGTATGATCCTGATGGGAGAGCCAGCAGATACTGCAGGGTAGGGCCATGCGGACTGGATGACGTACAGTGGAGCTGAGTGTGTGTCTGATGCCACAGCAAGACTTAGACAGCTGGAAATGGTATATACCATGCCATATGTTTAATCCTGTATCAAAGTTAGACTTGTCTGTTGTGAAAGGAAGTCTCACCCTAATGAAATGGTGGTGTTTTATTGATATAATGCAGAACAATTCTTTCTCTAGATGGTTTTAGTTGTTTTTCTTGAAAACCTTGTGATATATGTATGCTCACAGAACCATCACACACAGAAGAGGTTGCTCAAGACATATACTGCACAATATTGAATTTTTTATAACAATTGTGTGCCTCCAGGCGGAAGTGACAGTAGAGAGTGCGTCAATGTTGGTGGAGGACATTACGAGTGTTCTGGCCACTTCCAACGAAGAAGACCAGACACCTGAAAACATTGACATCGTCACTAGTGTTCTGAAGGATGTCGTTGGACTGCTGCGCAATAGCAACTTTACCGTCGATGAAAATGTAAGGGAATAGAATGAGCCATTTCTGATCACTTTTTGCCATTACATGTGCTATTACAATTACATGGAGATTACATATAATATTTTGGTTTAGGCTATGCAGTGGATGGATTTTATCCTTTAGATAGATAGCTGGCAGAAGTATTTACAAGGAATAGCTTTTGTCTGGTTTGTCTGGGAGTTGCTGCTCTGTTTGTAGTTCACTGGACTTCCAGCAGACACGATGCCCGCGACAGAATTTTTCTCTTTCCCTCCTTTATCGTCTGTTCTACCAGTGATGAACCTCTGACCTGTACACCTGTTTATAAACACTCACAGTTTGCAGAGAACACTGTAGATATTCTGGATGACCTGAGTGACTGGCCTGCCGAGGTGGTGGAGGAACAATCTTCCACGTGAGAAATAATTGTCTTCTCCTTCATTTATAGCTCACTCACTCATTCAGTACCGCTGTAACTCTTTTTCCAGTTTTTGAAAACTCCTTCATTGAGTGCATTGCAAGTATGGAGTGGGTTAATGATCATTTTGCCCAGATGATTCGTGAAATAATCACACAATAAGCTATATCTATTTGGTTGACAGAGAGAGATACCAAACACATACATGACAGTAAACACAAAACTAATGAGGAATAGTAACAATGATTTTCTAGCTCTTTCCTCTTTATCATACTTTCTTACATGCTCTCATAAAACCAATGAGAATATACAGAAACTAAAGTTTTTTCTCATCTCACACACCTGTTTCCTTGGTTACCCACAGACTGGTGACATCATTTGAGGCCATCACTCTCAATCTGGTGGACCAGGAAGATTTCAAAATTCTAGAGAGAGTTGGAGAAGACATCACTGTCAAGGCTCAGAGGGTAAGACCCTTTAATCAGCGTTCCTCTCCATCTTCTTTCCCTTCCCCATCCCCCTCCATCGCTTATTCATTTAAAACCCTTGTTTTCAGATCCTCATGAAACTTACAAGATGGATGGAGCGAATTTCATACCAAGCAACATCACTGCACGTAAGTATGGGTCAACAGCACATAGCTATATATCCCAGGGGAAAAGTCAAAGAATTACTGTTTACATTCTTTCGGCCTGCTTAGCTAACTTAGTCTTTAATATTGTATGCAAAAGCCTTATGTATTTGCCTGGCTGAGGCTAATTATAATGACCTATATAGCTATTCCCTCTATTTATACAGCAAATGAAGGAGTTACCAACACATCTACTGCCAATAGTACAACTCCCTTCACAAACGACACGTCGCCCTCTTACACTCTGCCAGTCACTTCACCTCTAAACAGAATCTCTGTCCCGGCCGGGGCCTTCCAGAACGCCACCAATCCAGAGACAGGAGTGTTTTTCTCTATCTACGCCACCAGCATTCTCTTCCCTCTCCGACTGAATCAGTCTGAGAATGACACGTCGTTCAGAACAATCGGGTCTTCAGTCATTTCAGCCACAGTTGCAGGACTCAATATTAGTGGACTCAATACTGAGCCAGTCAAGATAACTCTGGCTGTCACTGTTACTGTGAGTTTAACTGGTTTTTGGTATGCTGCATTGCGAAGATGTAATGATTTTGTTAAATTCTTGTCATGGTGCAGCAAAGCTGTTTGCCATCATAGCTATACCTGTGATAATCCCACTGGCTAGTGTTTGTAGGGGGAAAATGATAGGCAAAATTGTACTTAGCACACTTCAGATAAAAAGTATTCTCTTCCTTGCTGTTTGTTTCAGCACAAAACCCACACCGAACAAGTGTAGCACGCCTCTTCAAAGTATGCAAGTTTTGCGGGAATTAAGTGTTTTACTTAGAAGACCATTTTTATGCACCTGCAACGTAATAAGGTGCACATGAGACAACAAGAGTATATAGGGTCTCCGTACTATCCCACCTGCAGAACTGGTCCAATCCACTGTGTGCCTCCTACAACTTCAGTGAGGCTGGGGGGCGTGGAGACTGGTCTACCAGAGGGTGCTATGTCATCTCAGTGGACATGGAGGAAGAGACTGTTGTCTGTGGCTGCTCTCACCTCACCAACTTTGGACTGCTTGTGGTGGGTGGGCCGCAACTATTTACTGGACAAGAATCACGGAACATCAAAAGCATGCCTCAAAAAAAATCTGGCAAAATTAATGCTTCGTAGATCAAACGACTACTAGTCTAGATATGTGTTGTGCCGTAGACTTGCCTTTGCGTTGCGACCTAGTCATTGACACACGCATCACGTGTACATGAAGAACTTTTAATTGTGCTGCTATTAAACTGCCCCAAGGCCTATCTTGTGCTTTTCTCTCTCTCTCTCTCTCTCTCTCTCCCTGCCTCCAGGATATCAATGCCAGAACATCAGAACCCAAGGAGAACAAGGCACTGGATACCTTCTCCGTGGTGGCCAGTGTCCTCTCCATGATAGGCCTGGTTCTCACCATCTTCACACACACTTTCTTCAGGTGAACCCTCAGTCTTTTCTCTCTTTACCTTTGCCCCTGACCACTTTCACTCACTTCATAACCTGCCACCTTCCCCTTGCTTTCTCATGCTCTCTCCATTTCCTTCCTTCCTCTTCATTCTCTGTCTTTCCCTTTATTCTAATCCCTGTGCCCCCCCCCTCGCTTTGCTATAGTTCTTTCTCCTATTATCCAACTCACATTGACCTGTAATGTTACAATTCTTACCCTTCCACCCAATACAAGTGATCAAGTACCACGTTATTTTTATTACACTGTTTCTCTCCCTTCCTGTTCTCTTTCTCACTTACAAACCAGCCGACATTATGTTATATCTCTTTCCCTTACACCCCACCACTATAATATGCAGAAAAATAAGAAAGAAGGAAGCCAGCAAGTTCCACATTCAGCTGAGTATCGCAATGTTCTTCATGCTCCTCTTCTTCCTGGTCGGGATTCGCCGCGTGGAGCACGAGATCAGCTGCACGGTGTTCTCCCTCCTCATACACTACTTCACCTTGGCCTCGGTGGCGTGGATGGGAGCCGAAGCCGTCCTCATGTTCCACAAACTCATCATCGTATTTGGCCATGTCCATCTCGTGGTCATATCTGTCGTCGCGTGGGGTGAGTATATATATATAGAATGGAGTCGAAAATGGTTTAGACGTTGCTTAACTTCTGGATGAGGGACACCTCTGCATAAAACATACACTATCGAAGTACTGTGACCTTACGCACCAATGATTTATGATAATGGTTCCAGTGTGTCATTTATTTGGATGTTCCACTGCACTTGGCTGTCTGCTGGTTCATTGGAGCCCCTCTAATCTAGACACTAATAGGGAAATAGGGCAGATGAAGGTGTCTGTGCAGTCTTGAACAATGCAGTAGAAAAGCAATTTTCAGACGTGTTATTCTCTGTTTTGCAGTTGTACCGTTACCCTTCCTGGTGGTGGGACTGGCAACACTAGGAACTGGGGAGAACTTCCTCATCTCTGAGGGAAACTTGTAAGTCGTTAACATTCTGAAAATATACAGCACAGTCAATTCTTACTAGCCCTGTAATCTCCCTTTTGTTTAACCATCTCACTCTCCTCCATCATTCTCCAACCCGGTTCTCTCCACAGCTGTTTCATCAGTGACATCAGAGTGTTCTTTGGGCTCTTCCTGGGCCCAGTACTAGCCCTAGTTCTCTTCAATGCCGTCGTCTTTGTCCTCGTCATACGGGTTCTCGTCAAACACAGCGTCCGCAAACTTGAAGACGTCGACAGGAAGAAGAAAGCCATCGGGACGGTAAAAACACTCGTGAGCGTCGTCTCCATCATGCTAATGTTTGGACTCCAGTGGTTGTTTGGGGCGTTCACCATCGCTGAAGCCTCTGAGGCTTTCCAGTGGCTATTTGTCATATTCGCCAGTCTCCAGGGTTTCTTCCTGTTTCTTTTCTTCTGTCTCCTGAGTCAAGACGCCCGCGAAGAGTGGCTCAATCTGTTCTCACTCGGCATGAGAAACAAGAAGAAGCGAGGAGTGTTCGCTTCCAACGTTAGTCAAACGGGGCGAGGCAGGAACACGGGCTCCACCTACATCACCTCAAAACACAGTCGGACTATGAAGAGAAACGTTCTGGCGTCTTCGGGTCTTGACAGTGAAAGTGGCATGGAGATGAAATCGAAGCGCAGTCTCTATCTGGCGGCTCCAATCAGCAGCAGCGTCTCGGAGGCAAAAGAGACTGAGTTTGTCATCACGAATGGAAACGCAGCCGATCACGTGAATTTACCGACCGTGGCCGAGGAACGAATGGGAGACATCGAAAAGGTCGATATGACGACAGAGTCGGATTCGAAACAGCCGAGTGTGGAAGTACCGCCATACATCCTGGAGAGGAGATTCATGCGCCGCCATGACCCGGCAGCCGAACCTCGCCTACTGGGAGACGTGAATGAAGGCGAAGGAGAAGAAGATGAGGAGGAGGAAACGGAGGGAGAGGGAGGGGAAGGGAGCCTCGTTAGCAGCGAAGGAAGCACGACATGCTACGATGTTAGTATGGCGGAGTTTGGGGGAGAACTGACTCAAATGACAGACATGTCCACTTATACAAACAGTGATGTTAGCGATGTGGAGGAGCTGTCACACCTCTGATTATTAGAGACTTTTTATACATGATGTCTTTTTGTTTGCATGATTCTCACTTTATTTATCCTAATTCTATTATGTATTTGAGCACATATCGATGTCTGAAAATACATGTACTTGTTATATTTTACCATTGTGTTTCAATTGATTATCCAATGGCAGTGCGCAGTGATTTTTGCATCTTCAATAAGTATGATTATGTGAACCTCACGCTTTTTATATAACAGCACTCCTTAAAGTTCTGCAGCTCCCATTAATTAAAGCAGATGACAGACATTGTATGATAAGGCCTAATGGTGGTGTTTTCAAGAAAGAAGAGAGTTCTCCAAATTGGAGAAGATGGCATTATCAGTGGGACAGCTAGCTGCCCTGAAACTTTAACGTAAATGCAAACAGTAACACTTATTATGACAGAGAATTAACGCTGATATGTAGCAATAATAGCCAGAGGTTTTGCAATGCAGCAGCGGATTATGACGACGACACCAGCTGGCCACGCCCACACAGACGTCCGTGAGCAAACAACACCGCGAGCTGTAAGGCGTCTTCACGTCTTCGCCACAGCCTAGCTCTTCAACGAGTAACTACTGCGGACTCATCTGTGCTGTACCCAACTCGGCGTTGCCATGGGAGCCTACCTGGAGAAGCCGGTGACCGCCAAGCGCTCCGATCATGGGATGGCTGTGGTGGGAGGGAGAAAGACGGTGTACGCCTCCACGGCCGTGCAGGGCTGGAGGGTCGGCATGGAGGTCAGTTAGTAGCTAATGGCAGTCTACCAGTCCAGGGTGTACCGCCACTTCCGTCTGCTGCGTTTGTCTTTAACGAGTGTGTTAACAAGTAGCTAGCTAGCTGTTGGGGCGAGTTTCTTACGTGACGATCATGTTTGCTGCTGGCCGTGGGAAAGACGTTGGGAGTACGGTATTCGCGGAAAAGCCTTTTGCGCGTGTAGCTTGCTCATTTCAAAAGCCAGTTTTTACAAACAGTCAACCTCCACAAAAACTGACGGTGGGTGGTGGGTAAATACCCGGCTTTGTTTGATCGTAGGATGCACATGTGATAGTTCCTGATTTTGACGAGTCCACAGCTCTTTTTGCAGTCTTTGACGGACATGGAGGTAAACCAATATAATGATGTACCTACATTATTAGCGTGTTATTTTAATTAAAAATTTTTTATCTTCATGAGTTGAAGCAAGTGTAAACCTACTATATACAACTGCAACGAATCGTTTCTCTCTTTTTTCATCCACCAATCATACCGTAATGCTTTGTGTGACTTCCATTACTTGAAGGAACATCCAAATCTTCTTCACAACCTGTGCATAGAGTGTGGCGAGAGCTGAACAGCGAAAACAGATTTTCCCGGTTTTGCTCACGTGTTCCCGGTGTTCATTGGAAGCGCCAGCCGCTCAATTTTCTGGTGGTTTAGGTTGCGAGCCTTCACGAAATTATGTAATAGCGTACGAGATTTTGCCGCTTTGTAAGTAATACTTTATGAATGTGTATATATGGCCGTAGTACAGCATAATATTATATAACGTATGAAAACACTAGCATATTTGGTGAAACATGAGCCATGAGATGGCAAAAATTGTACAGCTTTGTTATAATATATGTGCATTACTATTCTTTGTGTGTGTGTCTGAAGGAGCATGTGTGAGTGAGTGAGTGCGTGCGTGTGTTTGTGTGCGAGTTTTAAGTGTTAGTTCACCTGCTACTAACATTGCCGTCTCTCTCAATTTCATTTTGTAGCAAATCAAATAACCTCACTCTCTCTCCAATCCTCAGGGAAAGAGGTGGCAGAGTACTGCTCGCGCAACATGCCGGGAATGCTCCAATCAAACGCGGCCTACAGGTCAGGTGACCTCTCAGCGGCCCTCAAGCAGCTGTTCATGGAGACGGACAGACGGCTGTTGGAGGAAGAGGCTGTGAAGGAGTTGAAGAGATACGTGGAGGGAGCAAAGGAAGGAGAGTCTGACATGGAAGTTCTTACCAGGTATGTGCATAATGGTAGGAGCACGTAGACTAGAACAACTGACAGTAAGTGGTGTGGTGCCAGTGCACTTTGACCCCAATAAACGAATGCATACCGGAGCCTGAACCCTGAATTTAGAAGACGGGCCAACACTAATCTTGACTAAAATCACCCAATGGTAGTTGATAGTTAAGGTCCTATACTAAACCTCTGAATTAAAGAAATTAACATGTGTACATGCAGTCGACTAACATTAGCTGTTGCAATTGATAGTTAACACTTAACCAGCCACGGACACATAAAATTGCGCCCAGAGCCTCCATAAGTCCATAAGAATTTATATGGGGGTTTAAGACGATACTGTACCCATGGCGTCCAAAGGGTTTTAAGGTCCTGTATTTAAGGTAGTCCTCTCTCTCTCACATGGTGGCTGTTCACAGTGACGATGAAGAAGAAGCTAAGCTACTGGAGGAGGCCAGAATGCCACTGGACGATCTGCTGGCTCAGTATGTGGCCGACAAGAGTCGTGGAGACACTGCGGAGGAGGAGGAGGGACCCAAGGGTCAAGGTACGCTTCTTCTTTGTTCTTTTAACAAAACAACACTGTGTGTATATATGTAAGCAGGTGTATTTGAAGTTGCACTGTAATGTGTATTAGTAGGGACAAAGATATAGGGATGGTGTCATGTAGCTTGGTGCATCTTTACTGTGTAATGACCCCTTGTTTCTTCCTTTTTGGTGCTTCAAGCCATCCCTATATCCCCCTTCGTTTTGAAGAAATGATTTTTCCACTTGTATAATATGTAAGCAGGTGTATTTGAAGTTGCACTGTAATGGTGTATATAGTAGGGGAGCTGCTTGTAAAGCTGCTTGCTGAAGTGCACAAAATCACACGTGTTCCTCCTATTTTCTCTTCTCTTTGTGTCACTCCCTCCGTCCCCCTTCTACAGCAGAGAAGGAAGGCACGCCAGGAGATGACCAAGTGAAATCGATGCTGCAGGCAATAGCCAGTCGAGCCGGTATCGAAATAGACTTCGAGGAAGAGTCGAGTTACTCTGACGATAGTGATATGACTAGCATTGCTGATTCGGGGGAGGCTAGAAAGGGAGAGGTAGAGTGGCAGAGAGAGATTATGTCGTCTCTCCATGCTGGCAGCTTATTTTTCTGCGGTGCTTTCAATCTGCTTCTGTACTGTCCGTTGCTCGCTCGGTCTGGTCAAGGCCTGCGAACTGGAGCGCCGGGTAGTGTCCCACGAACCGCGACCATACGGCGCTCACTCCCGATTGCTCGGTTCGGTCCGTCCCCTAGTTTTCTTCCCCTCATTTCCCTGCTCATCCTTCTCTCCTCCCCCCTTGCATTCCTTCCTTGGTGCCCCATCTTTCATTTCGGTCCCGCCATTGCTCCTCCCGTCTCTCTTTCGACTCACCCTTGCCTAGCTTTCCAAACCTTTGCCGCGTCACCGCTGACTACATCAATTCTCTCCGGCCTACATCCCCTCCCCCGAGTGGCTACGTACACTGTGGAACGATTCAATCCCTCGAGAAATATTTCCCTTCATGAATTAAAGTTTAAAAAGTTGGTCCGATGCAGTGCATCACCAAACCAGTTTAACCAGTCTGGAACAGTGTTTCATGATCTCCTCAAACAAAGGATCCAACTGCTCCATACCTCTTATGTTGTGAAATTAGAATCCAGCTTCAATTCTGAAATAGAAGTCCTGTCCAAGTGTGAAGTATTGGGTCTGGTCGATGCTGCACAATAATTGTCACCGTTAAACCAGGCAACCCATGGCAAATGCCGAGGGGCCACGTTGAAATAGAGCGTAACTAGATGTCGGGAGCCCGTTTTGTGTACCCTCGAAGATTCAGGTGATTGTAAGAGCCCGTAGTGACCACGATGACAGTCTCCCAAGGGTACGTGAAGAAGACACTAAACGCAAACGTCGTTCAAACCGAGTTACCCGTCACTATTTGACAAGGACACCAATCCAAACCCCTCTCCTCCGGATTGCTTACACTCAACAATTATTCTGTTCTCGCCCCCAAAACCACAGAGTGAGTTGTGTGGTCACCCGTAATATACTGGAGTTCTATTGCCTATTGGTGGTTACTCTCTCTCCGTGATTGAGGTGAATCACCGTCAACTGATCTTACACTATTTTCCTGGCTAGAGGGAATCTGCTTTGTGGTATGATTCCACAGTACAGTGGTAACCATCTTATAATGACTCCATCTGAGATGGGTACGTCTCATCGGTAAAAAGGACGCGTGTATTCAAACCCACATGTCAATACCTTTAGTTATTATTTGAACCCTGGATATTGGGACGAATCGCTCTACAAAGCACGCTTGTTTTCACCCCATGCACCAATACTTCACGATGTATTATTTGACCTCCGAGATAGGGACGAGCTCTCTAAAAGGGACGCGTGTTATCACACCCCATGCCATAGCAGTCAAGTGTATATGTGACTCCGAGATGGGACGATCTCTCTAGCTAAAAGGACGCGTTCGTTTCAACCCACATGCCAATACTTCTAGTGTACATTATTTGACCTTCGAGTAGGACGATCTCTCTAACACAAGGACGCGGGTTGCGTGTCACCCCATGGTGCCATACTTTAGCGTATTTGACCTCCGAGATAGGGACGACCTCTCTACAAAGGACGCTTGTTTCAACCCCATGCCAATACTTATTTGACCTCCGAGATAGGGACGACCTCTCTACAAGGGACAAAATCGTTGGTCCCATAGTGTCCCTTGTTCGGAGGTTCCACTGTACTTCACTACCTCTTAGGTACAAACACAGATGTTTAGTTTAACTTTTGTTAATAGGAGGCGGTGGGAGGGCGGACCACCCGAAAGAGAAAGAGAGAAGAGAACGCTGGGCCAAGACCAAGAGGAAAGAAGTTTTGCAGGTTTTACTTTTAAAACATCTTTCTTTTAGCACACGCTACGTTACGTGTGTCTCACCTACATACGGTATACAGAAATTGCAAAAAATTTGACCCATTCAATTTGGAATATTCAGCGGCATCCACAGTTTATTTTAAATGTCAATTTCACCACTTGGTCCATACTTTACTCTTTCCCTCCTTCCTCCCTCCCACTCACGCCCTCCCTCCCCTCCCTCCCCTCCCTCCCTCCCTCTCCTCCTCCCTCTCCTCCTCCCTCCATCATATCAGAGGAGTACTGGACGAGGAAGGCTATCACAGTGGCACCACTGCAGTAGTCTGTCTACTGCGACAAGACTCGCTGACCGTAGCCAATGCTGGAGACTCAAGATGTGTCGTCTCATGTGCAGGTAATACAGTTACTAGGAATTTTATTGTTTAAATGCAGTATATATACATAGCTGTAATGTGCAGGTATATTATTATTTTAATGTACAGTATATATATACACATAGCTGTAATACACGTTTGTCTTGTGATCATTCAACTTTATGTGTCGTAACAATACCAGCTTGATGCTGTTTGTTGTTGTTTGCTCTAGTTTTTATTAACTAAATTGCTAATTCTTTTTTTGTTGTTTTTTGTTCAGGTAAAGCAGTGGACATGTCCGAAGACCACAAACCAACTGACGAACCAGAGTTGTCGCGTATTCAGAGAGCCGGTGGTCACGTTGGAGCGGACGGGAGGGTCAACGGAGGGTTAAACCTCTCCAGGGCAATAGGTATCCGTTTTAACAGAAGAAAAAACCAATGCCAAGCGGATCTGCTGCAAAGATAATTCTACTTACTTGATCCTGTTGGGTGTTTTCATATTAACTAAATTGCTATTTTTGGTTGTGTGCCAAGAAGTAATGAAATGCTAACGTGTTCACAGGAGACCACTTCTACAAGGAGAACTCTGAGCTGTCTCTGGAGGAGCAGATGATCACAGCACTGCCAGATGTACAGTCAAGATCTCTGCAGACTGAAGACGAGTTTGTTGTACTGGCCTGCGATGGGATATGGTGAGATATCCATTTCCCAGTGTGACAATATATATATTATTCGGTGGAACGGTGGGTGACTTTTAAAGGGAATGTGTCAGAACATAATAGGTTAAACTTAGAAATGTTACTAACAATAGAGTCCAGCGAAACAATGCTATTCTAAATTTAGCCCATATGTATATACCAGCATTATTCAGGTCTCTCTACTGCATACTGTTTCTATCTTTAGTAACAATTCTAAATTTAGCCCATATGTCAACAGAATTAGTGACGTCATTCTATTGCAGGAACACTAAGTCAAGTCAGGAGGTGGTGGATTTTGTTGGGCAGAAGTTGAGAGAGGGAGTGAGAGAGAGAGAAATGCAGTCTCTGGGAGCTCTTCTGGAGACAGTCTGTGAGGAGGTAAGCTGGGGTGGTGTAGTGCAGCAAAAATGGCTGGGGAGGCCACTTTTCCCCCCCTTTCTATGGTTTCACTGTAATACTTTCTCTTGGGCTAAGTTCACACAATGTGTTGTTGCATTGCCCTGTCGCACCGTGCCACGTTGTGGGGGTGCTATATACATGGAAATGGATTCTATCCTCGCAACGTGGCAAAGCGCGATGGGGCAATACTACATAATATTGTGAACCCAGCCTAACGCTGAACCCCTACTACACGCATGGAACATGTTTCCCTCTCTCTCTGTCTGTCTGTTTCTGTCTCTCTCTCTCTGTCTATCTCTGCTCAGCTGTGTGACGACTGTCTGGCGGCAGATACAGACAACGATGGGACCGGATGTGACAATATGACAGCGACTATTGTTCTTCTTTCACCTCCTTCTCCCTCCCTCCCTTCTCTCCCTCCACCAATCTAACCACATAACACTATTTCACCAGTTCTTTCATTTCACCATTATTTTTGCACTTTATTCACCAGCTCTTTGTCTTCTAAAATACAGTGTTTTGGCATAATATTAGAGTAATTATGACTACACAGTCTGTTTTTATGCCCAAATTTGACGGTGTTCTATGCGCATGCGCGTGACCGACGTCGACGTGCAGTGCACATCAAGTCTCTCGCGGCTTCCGATGCAGAACCGGCGGAGAAACAGAGGTTTGTATTTCGCACCTCTGCGCATGCTCAATGGCAATATACCGTCGCACGTTCTATAGTTGCTTGGGTTTTTCACTTCAGAGCTTTTCATGAACACACTGTATATACAGTAAAAGGTGTAAAATTGCTAGTAATTCTACAGAAAAATCATTTCAGTTCAATTTTTTCTCTTTCTCCTCTTCTTTCTTTTCATCTTCAGTTCACCCACCTTTTAGAGAGAAATAATGACATAAGCCGTCAACCGTGAATTAAGTATTAATAGCCATAGCAACTACTTACGTCAGCTGATGGCTTCCTCTTGATGACTTTATCTGTAGACAAAGTGTCAGCGTTAGAGAAATGCACCTTCTTCACTTTCTTTGCCGTCGGAGTACCCACGTCAGAGGCGGTGTTAATGGAGGCGGAGTGAGGACCCACCCCCTCCTTGTCTTCATTTCCACTACTCTCCAACTGCTGTTTCTTCTTCTTCTTCTGCCCTCTCTTCCTCTGCATGAGCAGACCAGAACTCCCCTGGGGGGTAAAGTTCAATCATATACAATTATATTGGGGACCTCCCTACTTACTGGTGAAGCTGTTGTCTCAATGTCTGCATTCTCGCTATCCTTCTGGTCCGACCTCTCCTTCTGTCGTTTTCTACTCTTCGGTAATTGTGAGACAGAGACCCTCATTTCTTCAATCGTCGCAACGACTTTGGGTCGCCGTGCTAGATCATCACCCGTGTGCGATGATGACTTCATCGACTTAGATGATTTTTTCTCGGCAGCCAATTTCTTACAAGACACTTTTGTGTCAGTGGTGATGGCTTCGCGGAGATCTAGGACGACAGGAGTCATAATATCAAACTGCTCGACCCGCTGAAGACGCTTCGTGTTCCTTCTCGTCCTGGTGAGTGACGAGAGAGGGAGATGAGGAGTAGTCGGGTTGGGGGAGAGGGACGGTGGCAAGAAGCTAGCCTTTGGAGAGATTATCTTCACAAGATCAGGCGAGCAAGCGGTAACGTCTGTTTCTGGCATTTCGACTTCAGAACCTTGTTCAATTTCAACAGTTTCACATTCAACATGACTATCGATAGTTTTGACGTCCAAGTCAGCTTTTTTGGGTGTTTCTTTGACTTCTTCTGCTAACGCCGTAACTAACTTCTCTTCATCTACCTTTTCCGGTTTTCCTCTCGTATCGCTTTCTCTTTCACTTGGTTGCATTTCTTCTTCCATCTCAGGCTCGATGGCTGGCTGGGAAATTGTTGCGGTAGTAGGCTTCTTGTTGCCCTCCGCAGAACTCTCGTCACTACTTGCTCCTCGATTGTCTAGTGTCGTGGGTGGTGTGCTGGCGGTCTTAGCCATATTCTCTGAGCTCTCCACTGGTTTATCAGTGCCACTCTCTGGTTGAGATCTACTACTAGCTTCTTCTGCCACTGTTGCCGATTCTCCTTGTAGGATAGCTGTGTCCAAGCCTGGAGGAACAGGAGCCTCGGAAGACGTTTTGTCCACTTCAACGGTTGCTTCGCGTGTCTCACATGTTGATGCTGTGGTGGTTCTGGCAGTGTTGCCTGGTGCTCCTGCAGTTCCTTCCTCTCCGTTTCCCTCCGTGTCTAATAGAGTAGTAGGACCTGCACCAACGTCCATTACATCCACATTTGACGGGGCATCCTCTCTGTCTTCTCTTTCTTCGGCTTCGTTGCACTTTTCTTTTCTGCCCACTTCTTGTTGATCACCAGCTGCTTCACTCTTCTCCCCCTCGCTCTCTACTCCGTCTTCCTCCTCCCCCTCCCCCTCTTCCCCTGTCTCACGATCCCTTTTACCTTCTTCTTCTCCACTTTCTTCATTGTCCTCTCCGTCTCCTCCTCCTCCTCCTCCCTCTCCTCTCCTCTCCTCCTCCTCCCTCTCCCTCCTCTCCTCCTCCCCCCTCTCCCTCACTACCCTCACCTTCGTCCATTAGACTACCATCTTCTTCCTCTTCACAATCCTCCACCAAACCATCCACAAGTCCTTCTGGACACCCTGCCATTGGCTCTCCACTGACACCTTCCCTCCCCTCCTACAATGATATAGTACGTATATTCAGGACATTGCTAAGACATTTGTGAGGTCTGGCTTTAGTTGCAGTGGGCAAAATAGGCTCATGTAAAGTGCCGACATTACGACGCCTTCAACTCCTGCAGTACACACATGATATAATATTACATAATCGTAGCACACATGTACATGTAAAGACCTGTCACAATCCTTACACACTGGGCATGGATATGATTGAGATACTGTATCTTTATATTATATATATACCATGTTTGGAGGCTTGACAAAGTAAGGCAGTTTTCCCCTCTGAAAGTCGTTCAGTATCACCTTGGCAACGGCATTCACATCCGGCTCACCACCCTGCAGTCAGTTACATGGACACTTGTCATCAAAAGTGCTCAAGGCACATGATTATACAGTGTACCAACTCTCATATGAACATACAGTGCATATTATATACACATGGCTAAGAATGAGATCTAGATTATAAAGAAGCAGTGGTAGAGAGAGAGAGGAGTGGAGGAAAGGCTGGAGAGGAGCCGACCTTGAGAAGCCTGCCTGTCTTCTTGCACAGCTGCTCCAGAAAATCCTCAGGTCCTTCCCACTTCTCCACCTGGAGTAACACAGAGAGGTCAGAGTTCACCCATCTGCCCCGCCCACACAGTTGACAACCACAATGTAAAAGACGTGTGAGTAAAGGAAGTCCAGTAGCCATCGTGGTATATACCGTGACATAATATTACATAACAGCAGCATGCACAACAATTATCCACCTGGTGTCTGTGATTCTATTTCACTTATAGCGAACCAGTGGGGGGGCATAGTCTATGCATTGATTCTGGTAACCCACGACTACCTATACGTCACGACTTAATCCTGAAGTAAAGGGTGACGACGTGCAATCCATCTCACATGCAATACTGTGGCACCATCACGTAGCTAATGTTTCAGAGGAATGTGTGGAATGTAATTCCACCTGGTAAGTCTTGGTGAGGTATTCGGGCCTCACTCTCTCCAGTACAGCGGGAATATGATCAGCTGGATCGCCGACATTCTCAACTCTCACCTGTATGTAGCCAAACAAGACTATGTACATAATCACCGTGCAGTTAATGGCAGAAACAATTCCATCATCCCCCCAATCTCTCACCCCACACTCTCTTTCACCTCTACTTCACCCTAAGCTTTCGACGTTCACCTATCACCAAGTACGGCAGTAGGGATGACACAGGTTGTCCTGCATTATGCCCATACATTGCTCCTTGCCTTTTATACCATCCCTACATTCCACACTTTTTAATCCGATATTTACTTGTCTATTTCCAAAGGTTCGTCTTGTCCTCAATCTCCCTCAAAACTTCTTTCTTCTTTGCTATTGTCTTTCCCCTCAATCTTACTTGGAACATCTGGTGGTCCTGTTACCTCCCGTATTGTCTGTCGTTCCAAATTTAAGTATTTTTCTCTTTTAACCCCTTGTCTTCTCTCTCCATACCTGATCTTTCCCCCTATCTTGCTCAAACAGTTTCTCTTTCCCCTACTCTCTAAATTATCCGCTTTTCCCTTCAATCTCTCACTATTATATATTTTCACGTCACACACCTTCATCTTTCCCCTCTCTATCTCTCTGGTCAAATGTGAGAACTTAAAAAAGAAAACGTAACAACTCACCACTCCCTTGAGTACAATCTGGGTGTCGGAGTCCCCCGTGGGATACACTACTCCGGGACAATCGATGAGGTAGATCCTCCTCATTAGAGTAATGTATTGCCACACCTGCATTGTACATACATACATACATACATACATACATACATACACACACACATACACATACACACACACACATACACACATACATATATACATACATACATACCAGCAGATGCGCGTCACAATATTATTATTACAAACTAGTATTATGACCAGTGACGTAATGCTCGTTCAGATTTCAGAACAAGGATTACGTCATTGTGTCATAACTCCAGAACGAGTCTTACGCCACGCGTCGGGTACACACGCTGTCTGTTCCACTTTGTGAAAAACAAACAAACAAACCAACAAACAACAAACAACAAACAACCAACAAACCAACAACAACAAACCAACCAACAAACCAACAAACCAACCAACCAACAACAAACCAACCAACCAACAACAAACCAACCAACCCAACCAACCAACAAACAAACAAACCAACAAACAAACCAACAAACAAACAAACAAACTGAACTAAACCTACCTAGTAGATATACTCAAGAGGTGGAGTCATAATGAATGAATTATCATGTGGTACGTACGGAGCCAAAGGAGGGGATGCATATTTCCAATCCTCGCGAGTTTCTCAGTTACCTTGGTTTCTCCAGCAATGGGGGCAACTTTGCAGACTTTCTTCTTGCGGAGTGTGTTGATGACAGAACTCTTACCAACGTTACGGTATCCTATGAATCCAACACTAGATATGGGAGGGAGGAGGGGCCGAGGGAGGGAGGGAAGGAGGGCAGGATTGAGTACGGAGGAAGGAGGTAAGCGTGAGGATGGAGGGAGTGACTGTCTTGGTGAGGGATGGCAGTGTTTCTGTTTGTGAGTGTGTAAAGTTTGTGTGTTGTTACGCCTGGCCCGCTGTGCGCTTCGTGTCGTTCGCGGCTTTCTGCGCGCGCGTCCGCGTCCTCGCGCGCGCGCGCGCGCGCTGCCGTGTTTCCTTCTACCGAAATTTGTTGTTTGTTCCCAATGCTTGGTAACGCCAGGAGAAATAACGGTTACTGAACATGGGTTACGAGCTAAGAACAAAGGAAAATGCGGGCCAGCAGATTTCGTGACTCAAAACTTAGTCTTAAATGAAGAACGAACCTGTAGAGAGATAGAGGGCTGAATGAGGTAACGTTCAACATTTCTGTTGCGGAACACACATCCCACAATGGTTTGAAAGTAAGTGTGTTGATGTCAAAGCCTATCAGGAAGTATATACAACAGTGTGGAGGCACAAACATTTTAAACAGCTGTAACTGAGTGGACTCTACCCACCACCCACACTAGCTATGGTCAAAGTCAACAAGAAAAGGGCATCAACGGAGGGTTATTCTTGCAGTGTGGCAAACTCAGAGTACACAGGGAAACTCTCAACACAACCTCAATCAGAGACAAGCTTTCTACAGCGGGAAGGACGCAAAATGGGAAAAATCGTATAAGTATCTGAAATGAAGGGGGATGTATGGATGTCGTGATATGACAAAAGATGAAGAAGATGCTTACACAGTGGTGCAGGTCACTGGTGCCTCATCCCTACATCTTTTTTATGCACCACACAATCAGTGGTGGATCTAGGATTTTGAAAGGGGTCCACTGTCCAGAACGTTTTCGACTGCACTCGTGGGTGTGCACAAGGCCGGCGACGCATGCGCACAAAACGACAAAAAGGGGAGTTCCGCGGAACACCAAGGAACCCTCCAGGATCCACCAGAATCCTTAGAAGGTTGAACCTGCCATTACACCAGGTTGAACCATGTATTAATCAATTAACCCCTCTATTGAAACAGGACGTTGCTCATGCAACACCAAGGAACCCCCCTGGCAATGAAGGATTCTAAATCTATCAATCACATAATACCATGCCCATCCCTATATTATACTAAGTACTACCGTACTAACCAATTGAACACTTTATTATAATATCATGCACGTGCCCTATAGTAATGTTAGCTTGTACCACTATTTGTTGGATATCCCTAGGCAACCGACATGTATGAAGCTAGGTACTGGGGGATTGTATCAGCCTATACAATCCTACGTGTGCAACCAGGGTTCATACATGTCGTTTGCCTAGGGATATCCAACAAATCTGTTGCAGTACCCAGACAGGACAGCATTCGCTCTTACAGGGCTCATGCTGTCCTGTCTGGGCACTGCAACATATTATACGTACGCAGACCAGATTGTGAGAAGACATTATGCTAATAGTCACTCGTGTAGAAAACGCTGAAACCAAAACGACCATATACATATATCAGTTAGAATAATGTGACAGCAAACACAAAATATTTGAGTTTTGCGAGGAATTTGGCAACTGGGCACACACACACCGACCAAAATGATGTGAAATGAATCACTATGTACCCAAAAAAGGACAAAGGTTACACATGTATGTACCTACGTATTATAATATAAGCTTCGAAAATGAAAGAAGTGTATATATGTATAATATATGTATGTTGACAGCATAAATCAATAAGATTACAAGCACACAGATTTGAGTGAAATGATGGTTAGTTGGTAGTAGATCCACATGACTGTATAATCAGCTAATAATCACGGGAGTGGATGTAATCGGCTAACAATGAGAGGTCATTCTACAGACTGAAAGACCGAATATCGGCAATCTCGACGTGGTCAGTCTTACTCCCGCTCAGCGAGACTCCGCCCACCACGACCAACTTTGTCTCCGCGGACGACGCGAGGACAGCCGCGAAACACCTCTCCCTCTTGTGTCGCATGACGCACACCTCTTCCCACTCCCCCGACTCTGTGCTCAGCCGGTACACACGGTTTGTCGGGGTGTCAGTGAAATCGCAGGTTCCACCAACCGCGAGCAAGCTCCCGCAAAACTCTGCAACGGTCGAGTTTGTCACGGGGAGGTCTTCAACACTGGCGCCAAAACCCTCCCTCTCCTCTCTCTCCCCTCAATTCCACCGTTCTCACAGGTACCGCCGTTAGAACAGCGGAGAAGACTCGCAAGTGGACAGGCAAACACTGATTTCGAAGCTCGACCGGAAAACCCACCTCCGAAAAACAGTTCCCCGTGGTAAAATGTCCCGACTAGATTACTCATCTTCTCCGGGAGGTTAGGGACTCTGTACCAAACGTTACTGCCTATGTCCAACACTTCCACACAGGCTAACTCCTTCCCCTTGTCGTAGCCTCCAGCCACTACCAACACACTGTCACTACTACCAGTAGCCAGCACCTGCCCGCTAGCTACATTAACAGCTGCAGGGTTGCATCTATTAGTTGGCATCGGAGGCAGGATTTTGACCCACTGCTTCTTCCTCGGGGAGAGGGAGAGGGAGAGGAGTTCCGAAGTCGTTCCGTAGTCCCCAGACAGGGTCTGCCCCCCGACGCTCACGAGGTGGTTGCCGAGGACGACCAACCCGAAATTCTGGAATTTCCCGTCGGGGAACCCGGACCAGTGTGTCTTCCCGGAGGTCAGAGTACAGGAGAAGACCTTGTACGACGCGGATGGTCTGAAAAAAGCCGTGTTCCCCGAGACCGCTACAGCACCGCGAGACATTTTCTCTGGAGCTTTCTTTCCTTCCTTCCACCTCAGATCTGAAACATCTACAGTTTCAACTGGAGTAGCTGCTGCTGTAGCTGTGGGGGAAAATGACGCAGAACCCAATGATGTGGTAGAATCGGAGCTCGTCGAAATGTCTGCATTTCGCGAGGTGACCCCCGGCGAACGACCCCCACTTGTTGCCCCCGGCGACGATGACTGAGAAACATCGTCACCAGTAGAAGCCACGAAAACGTCCAAATCGCCACCGTCATTATCGTCGTCTCTCTTCGTCTCTGGAAGGAGACGGCTGTCGGCAGACTCCTCTTCGAGAGGTGCAGAGAGCTCGAGTAGCGGGGAGAGAAGGGAGGGAGAGAGTCGGTCACCAGAGTGAGGATCGCTCTTGAGAATCGGGCGCCGTCTCCTGGAGGTCGGGGACAACCGAGAGTGGACGTCGGGCGCCGAAGAGCTACGCGAGAGACTCAATTTCGACATCGAGAGCTTTGGAAAACCGTGTCTCTTTTGTGAACGCTTCTGTTGTTTTTGTTGCTGTTGTTGTTGTTTTTTTTGACAGGCGGTCGCTTCCAACGGCTTCTGTTGTTGCTTTTGTTGTTGTTGTTTTTGTTGACAGACGGTCGTTTCCAACGGCTTCTGTTGTTGTTGACGAACCGTTTCTTCCAACGAGGTGATTTTCTGCTTCAATTCGGCGATAGTCTCCTCTTTCTCTCTAACTTCCCCACACAAGGTCTCGGCCGACTCCATGGCGGCGTTCAAATCTCCCGCCATTTTCCTCACCTCCCCCTCCTTCTCCCCCAGACTCCGCTGCAACTCTGTCACCTGTCGAGACAGACTCTCGCTCTCCTGCCGCAGGAAGGCAACCGCCGTTTCTCCTCCCCGAGAGTTGTCTTCTAGAACATTCTTTGTGCCACGGCTCTCACGAGTTTTGCTGTTCTGCGGTGGGTCACGGATATCTCCCGCTGTTCAAGAAACAAGAACTGCAGCCACCTCCTTACAGTCAGTCCTTCGCTGATGTATCTCTCCCTCTCTGTTTCATCTTCTTCGTGCTTCCGTCTCTCTCACTGCGCTTTATCCTGATTCTTTCTTATGTCCAAACAGCGTTAGCTCAAACAGCACTGTCTTTCAACAGCCCCGGTTCTCACGTCGAAAACGTCGCGACGAATCAACTAACAAATCCACACAGGAGTCTTCAAGAGTGCTGCCCACACGCATACACTTGTTTTATCTACTGTCGATCACTGCACATGCAGCGCCACAATAGCTATGGAATGAGAGAGACAGAGCCTTTACTTAGGACGCACATGGACTTCCTTCAGCACTCTCTGGCCTTTATCCGGTTTCTAGGCAACAGCGGTAGCATCAAACAGGCACTGTCTCACAGCCCTCGTTCTCCACGTGAAAAAGTCTGACGAATCAACTATCCACCACAGAGTCTCTTCAAGAGTGCTTCACGAACGCGTACACTATTTGTTTATAGCCCTACTGTCTATCACGCGCATGAGCCATTGCCCACATCGCGATAAGAATGAGGAAAAGAGCCTTTACTTAGGACAGCACGTGACTTTCATTCAGCACTGCTGTGGGACAGCTGGCTTTTATAAGTGCCCTTGTTAGGTAGTGTGTACATGATGTACACACGCATTAGTGTCATAGAGATGGGTTGACTACATTACTCACATGCTCCATTACTACACACTATTACATGCAAGGAAGTGGGTCACATGACAGAAGTGGTTCACTTCTGTGAAATCAGAGAGCCCACATGAAAGTGATCTAGCACCAATACACTGCACGACTGACCAGAGTGTGAGTATGAAGATGTGAGTAAACAGGAACTGCAGGCATGTTAGAAATACATGATGTATGATTGCACAACTTGCACCACGACGCACTGCTTTTCTTTGCCCACACCTCTCAGGGCGGTGGCTGTGACGATTTGCATTTTAAAAGGAACACCGTTAGATAGGAGGCCGCACCATGATTATAAGTGGCTCTCATTTAACTATGGAATAGTATTGTATATTTCATTCATGACACCTCTACCTACCTATAGCTTCACCCAACCCCTCTTTGCCTATATTCTGCTGTTCCACACTGTCTGGTATTATAGGTACACACTGTACGTTCCTCCATGTTGTCTCACATTTCACAAGCATCCTTAGCAGTTAACTGCGAATCAAGTACATAGA